CAAACGTCGTACCGATCTTTAAGAAGGGCGAAAAGAGTCATCCAGGAAATTACAGGCCGGTAAGTCTCACGAGTATCCCAAGGAAGATCATGGAGAGCATACTAAGGGACCATCTCTTGGATTTCCTCGAAGGAAACGCGCTCATTCGGGACTAACAACACGGCTTTAGGAGGCGTCGAAATTGTCCCACCAATTTGCTCGAATTCTACGACTGAGCGACGGAAGAGAGGGATGAGGGGAATCCTGCGGACATCGTCTATTTAGATTTCGGGAAAGCTTTCGATACCGTTCCCCACAAGAGGTTGCGGGTTAAACTGGAGGCGCGCGGAATCCAGGGTAGGACGAGTGAGTGGATCGGTAGCTGGTTGGCAGGACGAGAGCAACGGGTGATGATAAATGGGGAAGCGTCGAAGAAGGTCGGAGTCGCAAGCGGTGTCCCTCAAGGCGAGGTCCTTAGATCTTGCTCGGCTCTAGCCCTATCCGCCTCCCCCCTTATGGTAAAACCTATTTTGGTGTCGTCGGCAAATTTGCTAATCTTACCCTCTACGCCTCGATCTAAATCGTTAATGTAGACCAAAAACAGAAGCGGTCCAAGGACCGAGCCCTGAGGGACACCGCTTGCGACCCCGACTTCCGTCGAAGCTTCCCTATTTACCATTACTCGATGCCCTCTTCCCGTCAACAAGTTTACTGATCCACTCGCTCGTCCTACCATGGATCCCGTGCTCCTCCAGTTTAACCCGCAACCTCTTGTGAGGAACGGTATCGAAATCTTTCGCTTTCGCGAAATCTAAATAGACAATGTCCACGGGATTCCCCTTATCTCTCTGTTCCGTCGCCCAATTGTAGAATTTGAGCAAATTGATGAGATCGAAGTCTCGTGAAGCCGTGCTGAGATGCTCCTAGATGAGCGCTTTGCCTTCTAGGAAATCCAAAATGTGGTCCCTAAAGATGCTCTCCATGATCTTCCCCGGAGTACTTTTGAGACTTACCGGCCTATAATTGCCGAATTATTCTTTTCGCCCTTCTTAAAGATCGGTACGACGTTCGCTAGCCTCCACTCCTTCAGGTACTTCACCGCGCGAAAAGCTGCTTTCAAATAAGATTCTTAGCGGAACCGATATTTTTCTCGCGAGTTCCTTGATGACTCGAGCAAGAATCCCATCGGGGCCGGTCGCCTTGCCCACCTTTGACTTCCCTATCATACTTATGATCTCCTCGGTGATGAAAATATCCGTATTGCGCGCCGAGGTCACCTCGTCCAAAGTCGTTGCTTCGTCGGATTCGACGAACTCGTTAGGTATCCCGGCCATATCTTTATTACTTACAATTGACTCCCCCCTGTTGTTCATTAGAGGCCCGATCGACTGTTGGCACCTACCACTAGCATACCGATAAAAATCCTTGGGGTTTTTCCTAGCATCGCTATCCAGCCGTTCCTCGGCCTCCTGTTTCGCAGATCTGACTTTCCGTTTCAAGGTCCTCGTGATTGTCCTGTAATCCTCGTAGTACGTTCTATCTCCCGTGCGCTTATACGTATCCCACTTCCGCTTTATTCCCTGGTGAGTGCTTTGATTTTACCCGTAAACCAGATCGGTTGCCTAACCGATTTCATGGACTTGGGGATGCATTCCTCCATAAAACCCTGCAATAACGTCTTGAACGCCCCCCATTGCTCCTCTACCGTCAGCCCATGGAACCTTCCCTCCCGATCGACGCCTGATAGGCATTCACGTAACCTCTCGAAATTAGCCTTCCCTATAGTAGTATGAAACCTTTGTCGGTTTGACATTACTCCTCGTCAGCTTGATATTCCACGTAATCGCGCAGTGGTCCGAATCACCCAAGTTATCCTGAACCTTAATACGGAGTATCTAATATAACAGATCGTCATTCGTCGCAAAATTAAATCCAGGAAAATTCAAGTAAAAAAAACCTCAAACCTCCACATTCCTTCCATTTTCATGAAACTTCAATCAATTCGATTCTTTTAGTGAGCACTATGTTTACTTTCCACAATCCATGGTCACACACATATCTTTTGCACTGTTTGTAGGCCACGTTGCATGTAAATTGTGCACTAGTGGTGCCATCTACTACCACTAGTTTCTTCACAGATTTGAGAAGCCCATGCTTCCAGCATTTTACAGTCCATGTTTCAGATTCCTCTGCCCATTGGCTTGTGCTGCACATGACAATTCATAGGTAAACTTTTTAAATGGGCCACCCTGTATAGGGGATATGATTGACAGTTCACAGAGTATACGAGGGGCGTTCAATGAGTTTCAAGAATTAGCCCCACCCACATATATTGTACTAATCTTACGATTGCCCTTTTCTTCAACAGGGATTCAGTGATTAATATGAATTTTTTTGTAATTTTTGCTCGTAATGCAGACTCACGGTGTTTAAAAATGGGAGAGTGACCAGGTACCTGAATTAGAATTGTCGAGAAGGGACGAGCGTGCAATGATTTTGTGTTTTCGCCTGAGTGATCCAGCATCCCTTTGCCACAGCAAGCTAAAATAAACCTTTCGGGGGAACAAGTCTCATCCCTTCCAGTCTTGCATGAGCAGTGTAGCCGTTTTCGAACCAGGCTTTTCTGCCTTTCTGCGGAACAGGCGAAGGTTTTGCTCAGCAGTGAAAGAAGCTGTCGATTTGGCAACGTGCGCTGGAGCATTGTCATGGTGCAATTTCCAGTGACGCAACCCACTTTTGAAGCGCTTTTGGTGAAGTTCTTCAACAAAGTTTGAATGGTACTTGACATACCATCTGGCACTCACTGTTTCACCTTCATTGATGGGCGCAACCTTAAAATTTTTTTCTGCGGAAAAAAATGGCGACCATGACCTTCCCAACAGCTCTTTCACGACGCAGTTTCAACGGAATGTTTTTTCCATCAAATTCCCACTAGCGGCTTAGGTTCCTGGTTTCAGGGTAATAAAATGTAGATTAACACGTCCACCACATCAACGACCAGCCTATTTTTGCTTGTCCGCCGCGTGGGACCACGCGCATTTATCCTGGCATCAGGACGCATTGTCGCCAACGTGTTAAAGTTTAATAACCTCTGACAATGATTTTAATACCTGCTGAGTCCCCTCCGCTTAATTCATGCAGCATTTAGCGGCAAAATTCGACATGAGTCTGTTTTGGGGTGCTGACAGTGCATGGGGGATTCATTGAGTACAAATTTTCCTGACTCCAAGGCACTCAGTTATTGTGTAATAATTTTATGTACCGTCTCTTCAGACACCCCAATGGTCTCACGAATCTCACGGACAGTTAATTTCCGTTCTTCATCCAGCACGTTCCGCACTTTTTCGACATTTGCCTCAGTTGAAGTAAATTCAGGCCCATCCTCGCTTGAAGCGCCACCTAGGCAGAAATTCTAGTGTAGGATTACACCTAGTGTAGGATTACACTAGGTGCTTGATTGTGCCCTGTGAATACTATGTCTCCGAAGACAATTTTGCCAACTTGTTCAAGTATTTAATCAAAGTTGGTTGATTTGGATATATAAATCAGATAGCTTAGGATCATGTATCAGTCTAATGCATCAAGCTGAAACATGGATTCAAAAATTAACTGATGCTGATGAAATGCTCAGACAAATTGACAAAATTGCCTTCAGAGATGTCATCTCAACATGGCTTCATAATTAAACACTCAAGAATGGTGGAATAGTAAAGTGGTTTGATGGAAGAAGAAAAAGAAACTGGTATTTCCAAGTCACCCTCTTCCTCCAGTACTTGGGCTTTCGGCAAAGTTTCTCAAAAACACCTCTTCTTGTGACCTTGAAACTTCACTAGAACTTTTTATTTGCTATGAGGAACACCTGCTCCACTTTTCATTAATAAACTCCTTTCCCTTTTTGGGGGCTTCTGCAGGACAATGAGTAGAATCCCACCCTCCCTTGACATAAGGGCATTTGGCAAGTTTCCTCCAAGTAAAATTTTTCTAAACACTTGACACTCTAAAATCACTTTCATAGCATACTGCTGAGTTTGTGTACCAAATTTAATTAAGGTCACCCTGAGTCCCTTCTGATGTTATATCCAATGGCAGTCAGTGTATTATGGTTTTAGTCCTAATACACCATACAAGAGATGCACTTGAACAAAATTCTGGCGTTGCCTAGTCTTGTGCTAAACATTTGGCACCATAACTAAACCTCACCACTCCCCACTCCTTCAGGAAGTTCCCAGTGGAGGAACAAAGTCTGTATGATGAAAAGATGCCCTTTTGGAAGGGGGCCGGCCTAAGTACAGGCTATACCATGCCTAGAGATCTCATATTATAATGTACAGAGCCAATGGCAAATACATACCAAATAGCTTCTCTGTCTATTGAACGAAAGGTGGAAGAGTCTCTGTTGAGGGATTGACGCCGACGCATCTCTTCCTCTCGAAGTGCTTCCTGTTTCCTTTGCATTTCTTCATGCACATGTTGCCTCTGCAATTGAATTAAATATAATTAGATGCACTGTCTGCTTCATAAATAACACGGGACATCTACACACTTGGCTTGAGCACCTGAATCTGAAGCTGGTGCAGGTCATGCTGCTGTTGGCGAACCTTGGCCTCAGCCTCCTTTTTTTGCTGGGATAGCATTTCTTCATAGAAGGACTTAGCAGGCTCTCTCCGATGAGCATGAAGGAACTTCTGAACATGTTGGCACAGATCAAGAACCATCACCTCCCCAACAAGATGATTTGCCAGTGCTTGCAGTTCCAATTCCAGCTCTTTCAACTCTTTCTCTGTCAATCCTTTTTCACTCTCCAGTTTTATTTCTGGAACACTGGATGACAAGAGGATTTCAGTTATTTGTGCTACCTGTGCTGCCATTTTTACTTGCAACCTCTAAGACAATATTTAAAAAAAAAAGAAAGTCTTGAGTCTAACATCATTGGGTAGTCAGATGGACATTTGATGTGAAGGGTAACACATGGAAGACACTTCTCTTTGCCATCTATGTCCCCACCAAGCATGCTAGTGCTCTGCTGAGGAGTAAGAGTGATGAGAACCTCTGGGGGTCTTTCCACTTTCCATGTATCCTTCTTTCTCACATCCTCCACATCTCCCTGATATATACTCTATCAGGGACAGGAGAATACACATTTTACTGAAAACTATGGAATGGCTATAATATTACAATGGAAGTTTCATAAAATGTCTCTCACTTCTAAGACTTGCACCTCATTTTCTTGACGTTCTGTCAATGTTTCCTCTGCATCCATTCCATACAATCAACTCTGCATGTATTGGCATATCACCAACATTAAAAAATCAACATGACAGATTTACATGAAAGACATAACTTCAATTAAAATATAACAACTTCCAGGGCCATGTATGCATGAACATGAGCTGCAACATGAGAAATTGGCTGGAGAATGGCCTCTAATTCCTTTGGATTTTCATTTCCCCCTGCAGGGCCTATGAGGCCCTCAAGGAAAAAATTTGGGAAAGCACAAATAAAACTCAACATGGAAGGATAAAACAGTATATATTCACAACTCTTTACAAATGCGGAACAGAGGATGAAGCTTCTGTTTGAAGGGATACAGAACCTGATGGGTCCACTTCAACAGGAACAGAGCATGTAATATATAGCAATGAACATTGAACAGAAAGTTTTCCCAGCAAGAATATTGCTGGTTTCACCATGTAAGTCTATGCTTCTTTAGAATAGGCCTTAACTTTCCCACCTTCAGCCAAATGTATAGAACACAACCCAAGTATATTTTCAGGAGACTAAAGCTCTGCTGTAAGAGACCTGAATTAAATGAATTCCTATGAAGCTGTTGAAGGCACTGTCAAGAACTCTGCACTGACCTGAAAGTCTTTGTTGGACCTCTCTGATAAAGCTCATTGCAGGACATACTAATAGCTGGGCTTGACTCAACATGAGTTAGAGGAAGACTTGTTTCAGAATCAAATGACAACTCTTAGTTATCCTTCCTCAAATTTTAATCAATGGCATCCAAAGCATTATGCATTCAGAAATCATAGAGGAGAGCAAAAGTCTTTAGAAAGTTTGTTTTAATAGCTCACACAGATTCCATAGTGCTTTTTGAAAATAGCATGCAGTTATGTACAGGTGTCCAACAACAATCCTGAACTGAACCTGAATCAAACTCCCCCTCTCAAAAGCAAATGGAAACCAAACCCAATTGTGGCAAACCACAATGGATATTGAACTTAGTTTCTCTTACACTTTCATAGCAACAAATTGGAAACCTAAGTCAAGGTGATGTAATCAGAACCTGAACTTTAATTTTTCTTATATTTTAAAACCTGAAGCATAAAGCACAAACCCAATGGAGTGAACCAAAGCCAAACTATAACACAGTCAAATTGGGTTGTCCAACTCCTTCTACGGCGTCTTGCCTTGATTGGAAGTACACAAATGGGCCTGCAAAGCACTACAAGTGAGCTTTGTAGCTCCATTCCATTTTGAATTAGGGTAAGAATTTGGCAATTTTCTCCATGAAGGAGGATTCTACCACTATGCAAAAAAAACAAGCAAAATCCTTATTACTGGATGCCATAAATATCTTTGGAAAAGAGCATTGATAGAGCAAAGGACAATGATAAAACCAGGAAAATTTTCATCCCTTTTACTCTGCCAGCATAATGCAGGAAAATAATTCAAACATGCATATACAGGGAGGGTTGTGGGGTATAAAGTTAAAAACTATCAAGGCATTTAACGACATCCAATGCATGGCAAAGATGGAAAAGTAAAAGCCTAAAATAGAGGTTCTATAGTGTGCTGCTCCAGCACTCACACAGGAAGAGTGAAACCATTGATGTCTTTCCATTAGGATGCACAAATTGAATGAGTTCAAGTATCCTTTTCAGCAGCAACAACATGGACTAGATACAATGGCAAAGTATGAAAGAGGAGCCCTCATGGACCATAGTCAGGAAATAACAACAGTAATATCAGGATGAAAACCATAATGCCCTGCTGCTTAAAGTATACAAAGTATACATAAAGACCGTATGTGCAACAGCCTTCAACAACCCTGACCTCTGAATCAAGGCATATTTTCAGATACACACAATGAGCAGGATAAATCATCAACTCTACTCAAGTGAGTATCAGTGGAATAAGGAACAAGACCTGCACTTCACTGCATCATGTGAAAGATAACTTTCACATGATGCAATAATTCAATTCAGTTTCAGTCAGGTGATTGGTAGAGCATCCTTAACCCTTTGAGGAATGGATTTTTTAATTCCTGCAAGATCCCCCATAGTGAATATAAGGAAGGCAGGAGGACGTCAGCCCATATATATATGGGCATACTCCTCAAAGAGTTAATCTACAGAACAAATAGTTTGAAATAAAGGATATGAATCCTCACACTGTTAAATACGGATGGAAGTGGCTTCACATGCCTTAAAACAAGAAGAGAGCCAATGAGAAGATAATGCACTTATCCATGGACAAGGTTAAAATTTCAAATGACTTCCATGAATGTCCACAAATAAGGAATAAAATTAATAAGACATGTATATTAGACATGATAATCAACAACTAAACTTTTGGCCAATGAAGTCAGAGTTGTTGCTGTTCCTATTTGTCCTTGCCATGCATTTGACATCAGTCAATAATTTGCATGCTACAAGTTGGATACCCATAAGGAACTCCACAGCCTCTCAAGAACATACTGTCCATGTCTGATAATAAATTCTCTTCCATCACTAAATGTTGGGGGGGGGGGGGGGGAAAAATCGGTCCAGACTTATAAATTACCCTGGAAATGGAGATCATGGTCATCAACATGCATTGATCTCTGGAGAAATATTACAAAATGTGTCAGGGCTCACTAAGAAACAGTATAAGCTAATTCATGAATGTGAAAAAGAATAAAAACTTTAGATATACAGGGCCGTACACAACATTTAACCACCCCCAGGAGTCCACTGGTTTAACTTTGACAAGAAAGGCTTTTTTTTAACATAGAGAGTAGATTTAATTAGGAGTTTGTAAAGATGCCATTGATATTTTATATTTTCACAAGCAAACTTTGTATGTACTTGCAACCTCTGGTCTCCAGGCTGCTTTAAGAGTATGGAGACTGGAGGTTTCCAGGCCAAACACGCTACCCTTAAAGACATGGACAACTCTACCCTTTTCATGCTCTCATAGTTGCAAGAAAGTAGAAATGCTGACAGTGTGCCTTCAAAATTTAAAATCATATTCATGAACTTGTAATTAAATGCACTTGAGTTATAAAAAGCTTTTCTGGTCAAAGTTATAGTGCCTGCATGGAGGAGCCATATATTGTAGTTCATAAAAAAAATTCTAGTGATGGCACTTGCATATATATATATATATATATATATCAAAATGTTGGATGAACCATATGCTCTTCTGTATGAAATATAGCATCATGTCTTGCACTCCTCTGGGTGGGTCAATAAGGGGACCTAATTATCAAATAGGCCAATTATAGACATTTTCATGCCTTCCAGTTTTGATAGCACAATCACAGGGAATTCCTTAGGTACATAAATTATTCAAAAGGCTCATCCCATATCTAGATGAGTATTTGATTGCTGAAGTCCCTCTTCATTTTGTAATACCAATCAAGTTAATCACTGTCTTTTGAATAACACTTCATACAACTAGGAAGGACCCGTTGATGGAGGAAGTACTTCGAGCTTAAGCACAGGAAGTTCTTGTGGTGGCTCAACATGAACTCCAACAACACGATATAAGACTCCCTCTGGTAGATGATTAGTGTCAAGAGTCAACATAGGGTTCCACTCTGTCATTGCTTGAGTGAGGACATCTCTCTGCTCTGTGTTCAAATTTCCCTGATGAGATGTCACAAGGGTGACTTCACCTGTAATATTCAGAATGGAATGAAATCCAGGAACAAACTTCAGAATTAAATGTTTCTCCCAACTTTTGTAAGATATCTGAGAAAGGTGCACAAAACTCACTGTTTCCAGGCAAAATTGCCTGATTGGAGATGAAGAGAGCAGGGAGAGGAGAGATGGTACTAGTGCAAGTATCATTTGAATTATTGGTAGTCTCTAGCTTTTGATGAATTCCTTCATAGGGAGGAGGGGGCTCATTTGTTGATGACAGATGATGACTGACAGTAGTAGTAGAAGTTTCCATTTCATACTTTGAAGAAGTCAGTTCTTCTTTAGAACTCTGGCAATTAGGATTGAGAAAAATATTGAAATTCTTATTTTAAAAAAAGCCTAAAAACAAAATGGCAAGAATATAAGGATGAAAATATTGTAGGTCTACCTGAGTATTATGATTGAGGAGACTGGGATGATGTTTACGTTGATGTTGGAGTAGTTTTGCCTTTGTTGCATATTGTCGAGGACAAAATTCACATTTGGCAGGAAGGAGAGCCACATTCCCAGCTGGTTCACTCATGCTTTTGCCATCTATTGCCTCCACATCCTGAAAAAAAAGCCAAAATATTTATTTAATGCTCTTAAACAGTACTTTTACCTAAATGTAATTCTGTGAGTGATATGGGACAAAGGGACAGACCACACTATGACCAGGATGCTTCTTCATAATGTGTGCCTTTCGTTTGGAAGAGCTCTTGTAAACCTTATCACAATGAGGGCAGAAATAATCCCTGGTTGTGCGAAGGATTGGAGCTGAGAGTTCAGGAATGGAATCAAGTTCTTTCTCCGGGTGACGTGAATTCATGTGATTAACCAGCATACCTCGTCTCTTGAAGCCCATTCGACATTCCTCACACTTATATATGAACTCTGAATAGCCTGGGTCCCCTACCTACCACAAAATGGAAAACAATAAAACCCAAAGCAAACCTTAGGGACGATAAATGCAATAATATAGAATACCTTAGGAAGTGGCTGCTTTTTCTTGGTTAGCAACTGCCTCAGCTGCAGGCTCTCTTTCATTTCTTCCTTTTTTTTGTCATGTGCTGACTTCAAATGATCCATTAGCTTGTCCTTCCTCTTGAACTGCTTCCCACACAGTGAACATAGAAACTCCCTCAGGTCTGAATGTCTGCAGTTTCATCAAAACATTTTGATAAGCTATAAGTAGGCAAAGTGTCATATGATGCATAGAACAGTCACAGAGAGCACTGAGTTCATAATGCCTGAGTATATCCTTCAATGCTATCTTAAAAAATGAGACTAGTAGAAACAACTATTGTAACGGCAAAGAACTTTTCTGTAGAAATTTAGAACTTTTCTGTAAAGGCAATAAGATAGGCAGAGAAAAGCACATAATTTTCTGATTCAAAGGCCAACAGGTCAACACATTGCAAACTCCAAATTTGAATAAGAAAGCAAGCACCATAAATATTTTCTAAAGAAGCTCAACATAAGAGATGGCATGCACATCCCTCCCATGGCTCAAGAGGTTCATGAATTCAAATACAGATTATCAGGTACTAAAGCCTCAGATGCAGAGAAAGGAAAACTGCAACTTCAATGGTGCTGCCATCTTCCCCCATTCCCTGAGTATTTTGGAAGATTTCTCTGCATTGCCTCATCTCACAACCTTGAAACTTTGCTTGATTTTTCTATACATTTCAAGAGTTTTCCTGCAAAGTTTTACTGGCAAAAACTGGTGACCATTTCAGGTGATTAGTATGACCCCCATAGCTGTTGACAAGTTTTCTCTGTGAGTATTCATACCCCACACTTGAAAATCAAATTGATTTCATGGTATGCTAGTACAAGTTTGTGTACCAAATTTCATCAAGGTCACTCAACTCCTTCTTGGTCATGCTTTTTTTGGTGATAAGCATATACAGATGTACTTCAAAATGGCATGTTGTCAACTATGAAGATATTCTCCAACTTTCTGCAACACCCATGGCTAAAGATTTCCTTTCCATAACAGAAAAATCATTAATGGCTTCCAGGAACACAATTAAACCAATACCAATGTAAACCAAATTTAAAGGTCAAAACTGTCACAGCACTCAAATCTCCAATCTGAAATTCATCATAATACCTTCAGAATTAATAATAAGGTATTCATTAAAAGACTAACCTACCCAATCAAATAAAATAATGGTGCTTCGAGTCAAAGAGCTAGTCTATGACAAATCAGGGATGTGATGTTAGTTGACACAATGGTTTGTCCCTCCATTGAGAATCAATTTAGGGAGTAAAAATTTATAGATCAAAGTTACTTTTTTTTTTTAAGACAGCCATGACTGCATGCAAGCACTATGATAAAAAGAGGATCTGGCATAAAGGGCTTTACAGTGAGGGAAAAGAACTGAACTTGCATGCAGCATTTCTCAAAGCTCTTTCAAAATCCTGGCACATTTTCCACAATTTCTTGAGATCAGTCAACAACAGCTATCAACACAACTATGCCCACTAGAGAAAAAGTCTGTAAATTTTCTTTATTTTTTCTGTCTCTATTATCTGTTCACATAACTAAAAAATTGCATTTAAAATATTTTTTTAGGACTGCAAATTTAAAATAAGTAATTTTAATTTTCCATCATAAAAAGTGGATATTGGTGATGACTTAGATGTTAAATGTTAATAATATTCACAAAGAAAATGGCAAATGCAGGGAGATTTTGTGGAATTGTGTTTCAAACAATGGCATAATTATAGCAAGCATAGGATATCACTCTTCAGCTGGACATTGAGAAAAGAAAAGTGAGGGCAAATTTAAATTTGATCAATAGAGCACTTAAACAGTCCATGATTAAGTAGGCTAAATTTGAATGCTGATTAAAGGTCCTACATTTTGCATACATGCTCAGAACTTTTGAACTTTCACTTGGTAACTGTAGCAATTTTGAAGGGGTAAAAACAGAGTCCCTTTATTACTTTCCTCAAAAACAGAAAAGTGTACAACATTCTTAAACTCTTGGGAGATACTCACAGTGAACAAGATAGAGAAAAATTGGCCATTGAATAAATCTCACCGCAACATGTGATTTTTGAGCTTGTCAGAACCCAGGAATTTCTTCTCACACAATGGACAAACATAGCACTTCCCAGAATGCCTCCCTCGTATGTGCTTGCGGATCAACTGGTAGGCCTCATAGGTCTGAAAAAAGCTTAAGCTGTTACAATAATGCTACATTATATATACCCTACATTCATAATAGAAAGGCCAAGACAAATACAGGGTGTCCCAGAAGGAGGTACCCAATTTCATTCCTCAAATGCACTAAATTTACACATGGTTTTAGAATAAATTTACATGGGAAAGGAGAGATAGGCCTTGAAGGTTTGTCTAATATTCTATGTTTCCACCTTTCCTGTCAATACACTTCTGGAGGCGTGGGACAAAACTGTCCACTTTTGCACAAATTGCAAGTGAGACATTTCAAACACTAGAGGTGATACAATGCCATAAGTCATCCAAGGACTGTGGGTGCACAGCATAGACATTGTCCTTGTAAAAACCCCATGAAAAATACATTTTTTGTGATGGAAAATTTGTTTATATGCCTCCAGAAGGGCATTGACAGGGAAGGTGGACACATTGAACAATTGAAAAAACTTCAAGGCCTATCCTTCCTTTCCCATGTAAATTTATTCTAGTCATGTGTAAGTTTGATGCATTTAAGGAATAAAATTGGGTACCTCCTTCTGGGACACCCCATACAGTACTTTGAAATCAAGCAGTGATTAAGTACGCACCCTTGGGCAGAAAGGACAGTGGAAAAGGTTGTCTTCATGCCTGTGTTCCTTCACATGATTCTTCAATGCTGTTAAATGCCCCAGTGTGGTGTCACACATTGGGCACTGAAAAAATCTCTCAAAATGCATCTTTGAATGAACATTCAATGCAGAGAGATTGAGGAATCTCTTGTGGCAAATGCCACATTTGTAAGGTTTAGGCAAGTCTGATTCATGGATGATAAGATGATGTTGAAGCCTCTCTGGTGTTGGAAATCGCTTATAGCAGGTTTTGCAACGGTCTCCTATGTGATTTCCAGCACCAGTACTGGCACATTTCCCCTGAAATGCTGCCTCTGGACTTTGTCTAACTGTCTCTACTTCTACTTTGATCACAGATGATTTTGAAACATTTGAAGAACTGTGAACGACTTTGTCTTTTTTTGGCAGGAGACGAGGGGGTCTCATACCTTCCTCTCCACAAGGTTTCAGAAGATGTAAACTTCGCCTATGTGCATATGGGATAGAGTATCCAACTTTCAGTTCCCTTCCTTCTGGGATCAAGCGAGTTGTAATATAATATAGATTATTTCCTTGCTGATAGACCATGAGATTCTGTTCTGAATGAGCTTTTGCTGGACGCACTAAGCCCATCCAACGAGTAGCTTCATTTCTACCTGTATCAACAGGTATGAATGAAGCTCCATCTAATTCCACAGTCAAAATGAGGTCGGGCCTAGCAGACGATAAAGCAGATTCATCTCCAGCTTCCAATGGACCAAATCGAATTCTCTTGTCTATGTCCTTCTTGGCAAATACAGCAACTTCATCCTCTTCACCCACTCTCTCCAAATACAACAGATCAGATGAGATCTCAAAGAAACTCTCCTTCTTGATATCTTTGGCCTCATCATCCATTGTCTGGTGAGCAGGATGGTTATTTGTTGAGTGTGAGGGGTATTCCTGGGTTTCCAAGGACATACGACTCCTGAAGTGTCGTGAGATAGATCTGGCTTCACTAAGATGCTTCCTATTCTCTCTCTCTTCTCTGATCCTAATTTCCTTTCTAAGATCAGTTATGCCTTCCCCCCATTCTGTTACTGAATGATGATTAGTTAGGTCTTCCACAGATTCTTGAATCTGCACTATCTCACAGGAATCACCAGAAGTCATCAGAGATTCATGTCCAGATGTGGAATGCACAGATGCTGAGTTAACAACTTCTTCATTGCTATCAACAGTATGGATAATGTTTGATGATGACACATAAGCACTCCTCATTGGCAAAGAGTTTTCAACTCTTGCACTTGCAGCACTATCACTACTGGAGGAAATCTCCCTATTGGGAGCAAAACTGCAGGGAGTAGTCGATGTGCACTGAGAAGCATATGAAGTGAGAGTGGGTGAATCCACTCTCTCTCCAATTCTGTAATCCTCATGATCACCACTGCTATTGCTTGGTTGTGGTGACCTTGACATCTTTCAAATGAGTGAGAATAAAATTAAAATGTAGACTATCAACCATGAAACCAAACCTTTAAATGAACTGGGCAACCAATTTTTGGCTTGAGACTTGATGTTTTGTCTCCATTTGGCCTTAAGCCTATGTAACTCAGTTGGACAGAACACTTCTGTGACAAATACTGGATGGATATGAATGCAACAGGCTTTGGATCATCTCATCATATACTTAGGGGCTATATTTACTGCACAATTCCCTAATTCATGGAGAAAGCACAAGGATGAAAGAGACCCAAGTTTGAGTCTGGTAGAGTTGCATGGAATCTCCACCTTAGTTCCATTCATTATTGAGAAAGTTCTGTCTTACATAAATTTTAAAGATAATAATGCCCCTATAATCAGTAGTCCTTACTGTATAATCTTAAATGTATACCTCACATAATGAATGTTTCCCAAACAACTATTAGCAATTAATGAATGATAGACAAGTTAAGTGAGTTCTGCACAGATATTAAGATGGAAGTTCATACAGCTACAATTAATTCACTCACTTGCAAGTAAAGGAGTAGAAATTTACCAAACAGATAGAGTTGGTAAAACAGTAGTGAAAGTGTCAAGCAACTGGGGAACTTTGCCAACAATTGAGAAAGGAATGTCCATTATGATTATGAATACAACACAGAGAAAATATATCATGTTGGCTTGAGGGGAAAAAATTGAATAATCCCAAGGTGAAACAACTCACCCATCTAAGACAATGGGCCTTCCAATCACACAAAATGAACCATCACTGCCAACTTTCTTTGCTCATGATAAAATAGCAGAGGCTATAACAAAAGTACTACTAAATGAAATAGGAAAAATGTAATTATAAAGAAACAGTTCAGTCAAGTGAAAATCACATGCAGTATATGTCTGTCTTCCTCAAAATATACTTATATTTCCAACATCAACCAATCAGCAGCAAGCAAGAGCAGTTAATTTCCTACTGAAGAAAAAGCTTCCTTCATATATCAGTTTAGATTTTTAGAGGGCAAAAATAGAACTTGACCACTGATGAAAGTAAGTGAGAAGATACATTGGAACTGGATCAATATAATAGCTGGAATTTTTCTCAATCTTTAAAATGACTCTTGACACCCTCTCATAAAAATATCTCAAATATCATATTAGACTTATATGCAGTGTACATCAATGGATTCAAAAGCTATTTAAATGGAAGTAATTTTTCTATGCAAAGGTGTATCTAGTTCATTGATACATACATACATTTTCCAAACTGTTTATCTCAACTAAAATACTTTTTCTTCAAAATATGGTACCAAGAAGGCTTTGATATATATAACTGACATTAGGCATTCACTCAATAGTTCCAGTATCTGACTAATTCCCAATTTCATGCCATCATATAAATATTCTGGGAAGCCATTATCCACTTTAATATGTTGACTGCCATGTGACATGCTGGTGTGTCAAAAATAATCCTAAGTGGCTGCCTTGGTGGTCGAAGTGTTGAACAACCAGGCTAGGTTGAAATATTACCCCACCCAGGCAAATATCATTCACCAATGACTTGTTTTATTATAAAAGCAACCTGTTAATTGTGGGTATTGTTTCAAATGCTGAATGTTAGTTATGAATTAGGTGGTGTTCCCTGCTTCCTGGGCCATTGGATATCCTACTGCATATGGATAAAGAGACAAATTCACCCTCACCAGAGGACTAATCAGACAACTTTTTTCTGTCATGTTTTTATTATTTTTAAATTGTTTCTCATTTGTTCAACAAATATAGTCCAGTCCTGTAGGCTGATTACCATAGGCCAACTGTAACGATGGGTGAAAAAAGCTCTAGGTTGGCTACCATGCCTGCATTACACTAGGTTTATTCACAATCACTTCTTTTTGGGATCTTGTTTCAAAAAAGGAAAGCAATTCTAAGACCAAATGCAAAACTTTTCATTTACTTCCACTATGCGATGAAAATCATATCACATACACTCTTCAGTGAGCTCTATTTTTAGGACTGGTGAAATTCCCAACATCCAATCAAAATCAAGGTAAATTTATCTTGCTCTTAAGATGGAAAGCTTCACTTTTTTTTATCAGCACATTTGAGGGACACAGGTGAGACTAATTCTAATTCTAACCATGCTGTAAAGTAAACCCAAAGTCACATAAACAAAGAAATCCAAACAGTCTTTTTCAACCAAATTACATGAATGTCTGGTCTGAAAACCTGCATGGACAATGTTGCTCTTGAATGGTTTAGAAACCAAAATCATTTATTTCAAAATGTAAGCAAGAGGGAGGATTTTAAGCTTTAAGGGGTTGGGAATTTCTTGCTTACCCTTACTTCCTCAGAATCATCTTATGCAGCACTTAGCACAACACGAAACATATATGTGCTAGGTTTTGATTTGAGGCCCTCTTGTAAACTTGACAAACATGTAACTACCTTTTTTTTAAACTTCCATTTCAGCATCAAGAAGCTCTACAGAATATGGTCCTTCAGGGATGTCCTCTGCACCACTCATTATAAATTCCAGGCTCTCCTCAGATTCAGAGCAACTGCAGACATGAGAAGTAAAAAAAAGTTCTATGCTTTTTCTTGTAAGGCTTCTTTTTCAACCTTTCCTATTACAAAAGCTTTGCTGTTTGCATCTCTCCTCTTTTTTTTCCCCCTTATTCATTTTCACTCTTTACTGTGTTCTTGTCAGAACACTGTTGGGAAATAATACACAGCAAGCCTGAGCATGTCATAGCTTTAATTCATCCTTATGGTGGCCCCATTAGACCTACCAATACAATGCCTCATTCTTCTGAGTGATGCCCAGATACTTTTGGATCTATAAAATGGAAAACCTTGCACAAAATCACATCTATTTTTGCCCATGAATGGGAACTTCCATTGGTGAGGGAATTCAATACATGTGGTCCTTTAGGTGAAAATCACAAAAACCAAAACAAAATCAAGAAAACACACAAAAGATAAAAATGAGAACATCAAATGACCAAAAGAGAATGAATATATATTCTAAAAAGAGATATAAGTTTGCATGTGCCAACATGAAAATTCAAACTTCTGAGAATGAATCCACTGGGATATTGAATGCATGAAAATGGAGCAAATACTTTTTTTAATTGTTGAATTCTGAATAAACACTGTTTTCCATGAGATTTGACATTACTGTAATGTCAAATTTGATGAAAAATAGTGTTAACAGATAATTTAAAGTTAGAATAACAGTACTATCAATGGATGATGGATATGAAAACTTGAGAGCAAGAGGTAGGGAATAGAACTTCAGAAAATATCACTGACAGGGGAAAAATGCTGCATAGGCAAATAAAAGCCATTAGCACAAATCTATTTTAGTCATTACAATATTAAGTCTAATCTGAAAACAGGGCTTTGATTTCAGAACTGAAAGATATTTCAAAAGATGCAAGCAACATGTCATAAGTGTTCTGAAAGACCACTTTTATAAAAGTTTCAAAGCACACTGTATAGACTCAAAGAGATTTCCTGAGTACAATACTCTCCAACAAATACAAAGACTATAGGAGGTTACCTACATGGCAACCTCCCCTGAACCATGAAAATACAGCAGAAGCAGTTTAAAATGAAAGAAGCAATTCATTCCATTCAAGGCAAGGTAGTAACATATTTCAATTCTATAATCATTGTTTAAGCAGTGATCATTAACCATTCCTTGTACTAGATGCTAGTGTAAGAATTGTCATTAAATGTTTCTTCTCTCAAAAAAGAATTGCTTCTTTTCGATCTTTCTTGTGCTGAAACACCTGTGGTGATTGTGAACAATTAAGTAGCCATAAAAATCGGATATTATATTAACTAAATGAGATAGTTCACTATTTTACAATGCAATTTCTACATGAGTAATGCCTTACACCTACACTTTTATTAGACCACCCATAAAGGAAATATAAGGAGAGAAAAATTAAATTGATGAGATAGCATGGTCTCTTCGATGGAAAAAGTGGTGAGAAGGAAACTTTAAATGTAAAAAATGCTTATTTTTTCTTGCTCATGGCATCACCACAAGCAGCCTGCGTCCTTCTGATTCTCACGACAAACTTCCCATCAAGCTTTTATAGATTCCCAAGAGGGAGGCGTACGCGACAGAGACATGAAGAAAATAGTATAAGCTGGTATATAGTATGCTCCTGGAAATAACTAAATTTAGAGCAGCCTCGGAAATAGCCTCTATCATTCTGAACAAAGACAGCCCTCGGTCTGTCTGTACACAGGCGCTCTGCAACTATTTATCATCTTCAATATCGTGCCTACTACTTTGGACTGTAGATCGGCGGAACAAATGATGCGATAGAACACCGATCTGTGGTGATCCTTTCCACTCAGACACTATTTGCTTCTTAGTGCTTGGACTTCAAGAGTATTCAAGCAGTGTTGCTTCATACAATTACATTGGATTAACAAATTCGTATGAAAAAGCACATATAAAAATAAACATCCGTTTCTGTAATATGCATAATAAAAACTCAATAAGAAATTTCAACTAAAATCATTTTTTATTCCCCAAAGAGCTGTCTGCTTTTTCCAAAGAGGACTTCATCCTGCATCTTACACATTAGGCAGCTTGCACCTTAATTGATCATGGCGTTTATCATTGTACTGGTGACCATGTGATGTGCGTTGTTTGGTTCCGTGAATGCTCGAGGATGCGTTGAAGGTTATAGAGAAATGAAGTGGACTCTGAGAATAAGCGGTGGACCTAGGCGCGTTAATCACGCTGCTGTTGCTGTCGATCAAATCATTTATTCATTTGGTGGATACTGCACTGGAGAGAATTTCAAAGACTTCACTCCTATTGATGTTCACGTCTTCAATACTTGTGAGTCCCGCATATCTAGATAGCAAATCGACGTCAGGGTTTTATGTTTACTGTCCATCCTTTTAAACGCATCGTTACGGATAGTCTACTGTATTATACAACTCCTAACAGTGACCATGAAGTGGAGAAGTTTTCCGGTCATCAGGAGGGAAGATCCAAGGGCTGATGAAGTTCCATTTCGGAGATATGGACACACAGTTGTTGAACATTTTGGAAAGGTCTACCTTTGGGGTGGAAGGAACGATGAACAGGCATGCAACATTCTCTACTGCTTTGACACAAGTGAGGAACTGGCCAACCAGTTGTACTTGAATAGGCCTATGTCACTGTCATGACTGCAATACCCTAGCCCTACAGTGTCTTCACAATGAGTTCACACACCCCCAAAAGGATGCTGGTGCTAGTGTTTCAAATATAGGTACAGCTACTAAATACCAGTTCATGTCACATGTAAGACTGAAGAAAATGTTCCACTGCTGATTGCATTGAAAGGGTGTGTGAGTACATTTTGAAAACACTGTAACATGTAAACATAAATGGCTATGCATGTGAGATCATTGTCTTAGCAGTCTGAGGCTAGGATTCTTCATGCGGCACCATCGATATGTGCTCTATTTACTTAGGAAGTTAAAGGAGAACAAGTCCTGTGGTATTTTTCATACACTGCTCTGCAAGACAATATGGAGGAATCTGGAGCTCAATGAGAGCAAACTTCTCATCATTTGTTCTCATGGAGCTCCATATATTCCTACAAGATGTTTGCATCTTGCTGCCTCCATTCCTTTTTCCCCCATCCTGCTACAAAGTCTCATGAACTGTATTATCAATCTAGCTGTTCACACAATTCAGATTCCTAAGTGCTGACAATGTATTCACAAAACACGTAAACTCAGTGGAGTGCATTTTGAATGGGTCATATTATACATGAAACAGTGTTGTCACGCTTGGTCTTCATAGATCCTGAAAGCAGAATTATTAACAATTGGTTCAACTTTCATCTTCCTGGAACCATCTTGGCTGGATTAACAACCAAATGTCAGAAAATACCATCAAAGGCTGCTTGTTATATTGTGCCTTCACCATGTGAGGTGTTGCAATTATGCAAGTGTTTTAAAAATCATGGGGATTTGATGATATATCTTCCTCTTATGTAGTCACTGCCCTATGGCCATGGTCAGAAATATGGATGGCATTTGCTTCCACTCTCAAAAAACCATGCTCATGAAAAGGCTTATGACTATGTACTTCAAGAGAAACTGAGAAATCCTGGAGGAATATGGGATTAACAGTCAGCTACTGTAGGCCATGAAATCCTTATGCAATTATTACAGGAACTGCATTCAGGTGAACAGTTTGAGTTCTGACTCGTTCCTGGTGTGTTGGACTCTGTCATGGTTTATTTCCCCTTCCCTGGATAGGATAGGATAGTACATGGATAGGATTTGTATGCATAGCCTGGACCTCAAGGGTGTCAGCTCTGGTGGTATTGAGGTGAAGATAATTCTTTTTGCCAATGATGCTGTAAATTAGGCCTCATATTGATAGGAACTCCAGGTCATGCTTGATTGATTCAACTCAAAATGTACTGCAGCCAGAATGAAATAGAGCATCCCCAAAACATAAGTTATGGTCTCAAAAAGCCCTGTACAGTATGTCCTACATGTTAAGGGGCCTCATGGAACAGGTGGAGAAGTTTAAGCCCTTGGCTTTTGGTTCGAGTGATGGGTGATATGGAAGCAAGATTGACAGCCACATTGCCAGTGCTTCTGCTGTACTTGTAGGAACTCTGGAAGACTGTTGTTACCAGATCTGAAACATCCAAGGAGGCAAAACCTTCAGTTTTTAAAAGCATTTACCTCTCCACCCTTACCTATGGTCACAAACTCTGGGTATTGACCAAAAGAATGAGGTTGCAGATTCAGGCTACCAAAGGAGGTTCTTGGTGGCCAGTGTCACAAGAGGTTGCAGAGTGCCACCATTCATGAGAACCTCCAGGTTATGTGACTACACATTTGGATCAAGAGATCTCAAGTCTGTTTGTTTGGACTTGTCTCTTGTATGCCTCCTGAGAAACTCCTAGAGAGTCTTCCAACCTAAAGTAATTGGCAAAAGTCCAGTCAGCAGGCCTCGTGCAATGTAGTTTGAGTGCACCACAAATTTTTGCCACAAGAGGCTCACCTGCCAAGCTTGAATAAATTGCCCAGGATTGTTAATGCTGGAAGATGCTCCTGGACCTGCTTAAACTATGACCCCATTAAGTTTGGATAAGTTTGAAAATGTATGTATGCATGTCACTTGTAAGTACTCTGGCGGAGATAAGAATTGGACATCTGTATTAACGACTTCAGGTAGTCATTCCAAATCAGCTGTTTGTACCTCCAGTGGCTAGTTTGTTTTTTTCTCTTTTTTTCTTATTTTTGTCCATGATGGTTTCCTGTCTATATTTTTGCAAGCATATGTGAGTAGGATGGTCACCCATAGCATCAAAACTTCCATGATGCCTGAGCTTCTATGAAGTAGAAAATGGGAAACTCAGATCCACAACAAGAACATAACTCCTTGACATCATGAAGCAAAATGAATTGAGGAGTAATAGGTGTATTACATTTTTAAACTATCATAAAAGCTTTTGTTGACCATTTCATTTCTTGCCCATTCTGCTATTATAGAGAAACCAAGAAATAATGTCTCAGCCTTCCCAAACTGTTAACTTATTTCATTCTTCCACTTGCATATTCCATCAACACAAAATATTTAAAACTAAGTGGAAAAGCACCCCCAGAAGGGATTCCTGTGTTAAACACCACTACATGACATGATCTAAGACAAATGTCAAACGTATGGCCCACGAAGGTGGTTCATCTGGCCCACCATCTGTTCTTCAAATTTCTGCTTGTCTGACTGTCAGCACAAAATTTCTGTGAAAAATTATGGGTGTGGCCCTCAGGCATTAGGAGGGTAAAGAATGTGGCCTACCAACTTATTTGAGTTTGACATCCCTGATCTAAGACATTAATAATAAAAAAATGCTTGCCTTTATTATTGCAATTTTAGTTTATGCATGAGATGGAAAAGGAAGTAAAGAAGACAGTAGACTGATGATAGTGGAGGGGCACGAGGACAAGAGTACAGATTGCTGTGACTCTTTCAACTTTGTTCATTTTTTGTTTTGATGCTTCCAAGGAGCACTGATCAAGATGCAATAGCCATGTATGGATGGCAAGCTTCTTGCACAATAGTCTTAGCATGTTTCTTTCAGTAGTTTGTTTTCATCCCATTAGAGTACTTAATGAAATACAACTGTCTGTTATGGTGGATATTCTTCAGTTATCCTAATGTTGAATTAGCCTGAGGTTGCTGTGGTCTTAAGTATGGCTCCATTATGCCATATTCTATGGTCCTACATTTTGGTCATTCATCACTAAGTAGTGATATCATTTTCATTTTGAAAGGAACACACTGTTGGAGCTGTCCTCGAGTGCATGGACAAATTCCAGGTGCAAGAGATGGACATTCTGCTGCCATACTTGGCAATAGAATGTTCATCTTTGGTGGATTTGAAGAGGAGTCCCAGACATTCTCTCATGATTTATATTGTCTGGATTTGGTGACCTTCACATGGACATTAGTCACAACCAATGTGAGTTCATGATGAATCCTTGATTCTTCATGCAGAGTTTAGGTCATGTCCATCATACCAAAATATGGCATCTCTCAACTTTTATTTTTCACATGTAGGGGACTCCACCAAGAAACCGAGATTTTCATACATGCACGGCACTTGGGGACTGCCTTTATGTGTTTGGAGGCAGAGGAGATGTTGCAGGAGCAATTCACACACGTCGTGAGGTCTATGACAATGCCATGGTAGTCTTCAATACTGTGTCAAACCAGTGGACCTATCCCCAGGTTCAAGGAGATATTCCTTTGGGCAGAAGAAGTCACTCTGCTTGTTAGTCATGCTCTCTGCATTGATGAAACTTATTGCAAGATGCATGAAAGCTAAGCTTGAAATTCTTTTTTCTGTTTTTGTTGCAGTTGAGCAAAATGGATATATTTATATATTTGGTGGCTATAATGGAATTGAGAAACAACACTTCAATGACCTTCACCAGTTTGATCCTGTGCGGAAGGAATGGAAGAAGCTTAATCCAAGTGGGCAAGTTCCATGGGGCAGAAGACGACAAACATGTTGTGTCATTGGGAATTGGATGTATCTCTATGGAGGAACAAGGTGAGAGTACCAAAACATGATGGGTGGAATAGCAGTGAATGCTTCTCCTGCCTTCTGAGTTGATGCCAAATCTCATGTTTACTACAGCAGGAGACAGCATAAGCTTGCTTTGCATCAAGAGGCATATAAGGGTGGTTTCAAGTCTAGGGGGAAAAGGGGATGTCATCCTTCTCCACTGTCCCTTTTAAGAGCAACTTGCTGTACATGCCTGTCAAAGGCATTGCAGAGTGTTGTGACATATACAAATTTCAGAAGTTTGGAAGCCCCAAGAAACCTAGCCCACAGTTTTACTCACTGAGTACACAACTGTGGGCTAGGCATTGGCTTGTGCATGATTCCATGCTTTCATTGAGGGACTAGTAATTCTTTTCTTTCTTTTTTTTAAATGGAATATGTTTTATCAGAACACTGGAATTTGCAAAATTGAGTAAAGTGCTGTTGTACCCCAGAAGCTTGCTTTGTACCGCTGTTGCACATGATAGAACTTACTTTTGCAGGTGAAAATATAGTCTTATCATTAGACATCTTCTGGGAATATTCATTCTTTGATGCCTTCCCTAGACTTCGTACAGGACTAGTTATGTACATCATGAAGTTTTGCATCAAAATCAGCTTTCCTACTGCTGCTGCACAAAATGGAGCAATGACTATACTATACCTGACACACTTGATGTATAACTAAACTCAGTAGCACCATAAATCTTTCAAGAAGACTGTGTGGTGGCATGATTTCTGTCATTAGATTAATAAATTTTCAGTTTTGGAACTTTCTGGCAAGTTATTACATCTTTTTTATATCTTCATCAAATTCTCTAAAATAGATCATGTTAAATCTCATTCAAATGGAGCATCAGAGCATTTTGTTATATTCTATTGATGACTGATCAGATCATTCTTCTTGGAGTGGATATTTTTACTTTTTTTTGTTTACTTCTAGGCCATTGCCAGGGGCACTCCCACCAAGTGATGAAGATGACCCTGACAACCCACCCTCTCTCTTGGATTTGGGGGATCTTTGTGTCCTTGATTTCTGTGAGTGCATACAAACAACATCCACCTCAAAATGAGGAGTTTGGCCTCCATTAAAACAATGAATGTATCTGAATTGAAGGGCACCATGCAAGAGGATGTAATTTTTTTGTTTCATATTAGTCTCTCCAATTGGTAAATGCTGCTCACAGCAGTGATGGTATGTACATACAAGGGTGTTTCCATAAGTGAAGACATAAAGCATTGAAATGCTTGTAGTATTTATTCCTTGGTCATGATATTTTTTTTTGCTTTTCAACAAAATCCTCATTTATATAGATACATTTGTTCCACCCTCTACAAGATTGGATATGCCTGGGAGGTAGAACTCTTTAGGTTGATGCTGTAGCCATGATGGGATGGATTTCTTTCACAGCTTGATTATTATTCAAGTGGTTTCCTTGTAATGCCTCTTTAAGTTGTACAAGAAGGTGTTAAATCAAACTGGGTGAAGTTGGGGCTACAAGGTGGATGTGGAAGAACATCCCAACCAAATTGTGGCAGTGTTTCAGTAACTGGAACTATTTCAGGTGGTGCATTATCCTGTTGCCCACATCCTTGTTCCAGATGTTTCTCCTTCTTCCATACATTTCAACAGTTCATGCTGTCGTCTCCATACTGTATCAACATTTTTTGTACATTTCACGTGTGTGCACCCTTGTAGACCACAAAAAACTAATTACTGCATGTCATTCCTCCAGTGTTCAGTTTGGGAGAGGTGCTGCATTTTTTTAAACCCTAGCTAGTGCTGTTCTATTTTGGACTTATGCAGATTCCTTAACTTTTCAAAATGCACAAGTAGCAATTGCACTTTCTGCAAAAGATGGTCATAACAAAAATATTAGAGACAGAATTAATTAAAGGGTCTTATTGAAGCATCCTCATATATCAAGGAGACACTCACCTGTTCCTCTCTGTGGCAAGTTCTAAGAGAGGCCCAATTTGCACTATAAGATCTATAACAACAATCTTGCATTTTCAAAGTCCTTCCCAAAATTGAAGGGCTGAGAAGTGCTCTATATGCAAAAAATCAATTACTTAAGCTCTATGTAGAAAGAGTGAATATTCCAACAACTGTCTTCTTAAAAGTGAGGAAAACTTGTCTGTTGATTACCAGTTTTTCCCCAACATAAATACTAAAAACTACTCCTTCAAAGTGAAAAGGATCTATGTCTGCTAAACCAATTATACTTTTCTTGAAAATTTTTTGCAGATTTATCACTTTTCCTTATTGCCCTTCAATTTTTCATTGTGCAAATGGTTTAATGGATCTTGCCTGTCTGAAGAACTGACTCAGAATTCTCCAAAACTCATAGCAACATCACCTCTTTACTTGCTTCCATAAGGGACAAAAGACCTACATACAGTTAGTTTCACCTGTCTCCAAGGTGGTCTCCATCTAGTGACTCTTTGCCCTTAAATGACAAATTTCTGCAATTCTATATGAATTGTTGGGGTGTACTCGACAGAATCACTGTTGTCAATGTTGGACTTGTCATTTATTAGTATTGCCTCATAGTGCCAAACTCATATTAATACTCATTGTGAATCAAGTGAACACCAAGTTTTATCCCTTCATTCTAAATTAGGCATTCAGAATTATTACTAATATTGGCTTGAAAACACCAAAGTACTTCATTTACATAATATTCTTTGTACTTTGATTTTTGAGTTGAGAATCGAACTACCTTCAATAAGATGCAGTGGGAATATTCTGGGAGTTCACATCTTTCATGAACTGTACAACTGTGTTCACAAGGAATGATAATGTATTGATCTCCTTTGCAGCTCCATCCCTTCGTGTACTAGCAATGCTGGAAGTGGTTCGGTATCAACTGGAAGCCAAGTATCTCCCTCTAGAATTGAAGTGAGTCTTAGGCCAGTATTCACTGTGAGATCTATGCTTAAGGAATTCAAGCAGCATCTGTGTTTCATTTCAGGAAGGAGTTATGGGTATGGTCTGGAGATATGCATGTACAGTCAGTATCCAGCACAACTGGCTGATTCTCTTGCACGTTGTTGGTTAATGACATAGGATTCCTCGTTGTACTCTGTGATAATTTTGTCGTCATTACGAGGTCCCTAACATGTCTAAATCCTTAATGAACTTGATAGTGTGCTACAGCTCCATCATACTATCTTCTCCTCCCTTAGTCTATGAATTCATATTGAAAAATCATATTCAGGTGGACACTTTCTTCTGCTTGCAGTCAAGATATGCATATTATTGATGAATATACAGGTTATCTGGAACACTAACACTCTTTTTACTTGTGACTGAAGTTCAATGAACTTGTTATACAAAAGGCTATCATTCACAGTCTGGGAATTCATACCATATTTTATCCAGTTCAAAAAGATCTGGTGGTATTATAAAGCCCTTCATCATGGACAACCATCATCACAGAATACAAAAGGACCTAGACTACAGCATTTGGCTGGCTGATACTCTCAACCTTTGTCATGTTGATATGTTGCTTCATGGTCTTTAATGACCTTGAAACTAGATTCTTAACTTTTTTTTTTGCCAATGCTAAACAGTGAAGGAAAGCACTGATCTAGTTAGTCATGGACCCAAGGCATGAAAATATTTTCACATCCAGGATAGTAGTTTGAAAAAATCAAATGCATTTTGGAAAATCAGGTCATGCAGTTTGCCAACTTACACTGGTTTCTTTGCTTGGGAATGAATTTTCCAAGTGAGTGGATGGGTTTGAGGCCTCCTGAAAGCATACAAATAGATGATTTTCCTTTCTTGGCTGGGAAGGGTGCACAGTTCGGAACAAGAGCTATACCTCTTTTGCTTTAGAACAAACACCACTTCAAAAATCCAGAGCTTGTTCTCACCATGACTTCTGTAAGAAAACCTTTTTCCAAACCTGGTAGACATAATTTGGAACTTCTTGATAGTGATAATGAATTACTGTATGTGATGTGACAGAGACATCCCAGCTTCATGCAAGAATGTTCTTGAGACACAAAGGGATCAACACTTTGGCCTGAATATAGATGAGACAAACATGATGCAAGGATTCAACATCTATGCATAAAACATTCAAATTCTCAACAGAAAACAAAAGTATCTCATCCCAGAGTCATATCAATGCAACCAGGTATAACAAAACAATAATGAAACATCTTTAGTATGTCTTTGGCATTCCATCACAGTGTATCTTGCAGAGTTGTGTTATTCAGACTCTGGCTTCTTTCACACCTCCAGAATGAAATTGATGGTCAGGAAGCATCTTGATTGGCCATGAATGGCTGTCTTACTAACTGTATCATGGTTTCAAATTTTTGGTTCAGAAACTGTTAAAAAAAAAAAAAAAATTAAATGCCAATTTTACAAGCAAAAATGCCCTCAGACAAGACACTCTTAACATACAAGATATTCTTCAACTTGTTAGGAGATGCCATTTCTCTTTGTCTCATTCCCATGTGAAGTCATGCAGAAATGCACAGAATGAGTTGATGGCACAGCTGTGTGTAAAGGGATCCATCTCCTTCTAGATGTCGAATTTTTACTCTCCTTACATGTGAATTGGGTTCTTGAAAAAGGGACACTTGCATGGAAAGTGCACCATTTGGCTCTCCTAGCAACAGAATAGGCTGTTCTCCATGAGATGCCCGACATTCTAGGTTGGGAACTTGGTCTTTTGCAATTCCCTCAATCCAGGAGAAAACTTGAGCAGAACTCAGCTGTGCCATCTCTTCACTGAGGAGGAAACTGAGTGATCCCTCTCGAGCCAGATGTGCTGATGTATCTTCTGATCCATGTCGTATCACAGATTCTCGAAACTGTTGCTGTTGAAGCTGATACTGGTGAGTGATGGATGTACCTTTGGTTATGGAGGGTGCAGGTGAGCAACCATTCATGGGTAACACAGGGAGCTGGAAGCTACCAAGAGGGGCATCATCAGTGGAAAGGTCTGTCACAGATATCTGAGGATGGTCCCTTGAGTCTTCTGGGATGCTGAAGAGAAGTGGAAGAATATTAGGGGTCCCTTGGGTGATGCTACCCCGAGCTGAAGAAGTAGAACCTGGTCCAGGTCCAGATGGTGATAGGGAGTTTGGAGAATTGGATGGGGAGGTTGAAGATGAAATAAATAAGGAAGAGTTTTGTACAAGCTGCAGACCTTGCAGTTGTTGATTAAGTGTAGGACTCTCACTTCCTCGAACTGGGGAGCCTATGGAGCACAGAGATGAACTCATCATAAGTAACTTCAAACATGGGAACTGTCAGGATACTCCCTGTAAAACACACCAGTGACTGGGGGTGAAGTAGTTGGAGAGAGACGTGGTGAGGAGAAAGGCAAGTTTTGGAGGTGTTGATTGTGATATTGCTGCATTTCTGCAAGTTCTTCCTCTCCACCTTGATGTTGTTGCTATAAAAGAACATGGTACAGGATCAAATTTATGTTAGATGGTTCTTTCTATTTCACAAAAAATATTAAAACTGTTCATAGTCCAATGGTGGTATGGAAGCAGATGGACTGCATTGGAATGAAACCAAATTGTTATAATTCAATAAATCCATTTCATGCCAGGTCATTTTCTTTCAATTCCTATCGAATGTCAAATCTCAAGCTTCCTCCTCTAAACACATCAGGGTTTGAGTATCAATATTTTTCGTAGATATGGTTGAATCTAATATATGACTTGAAGCAATTCATGAATGGTAATTTTACTTGAGATACATAACCAAACAAATGAGAACTAGATTTGGGTTCAATTCAAATTTTGGATATAAGGGTGCCAAGACTTGAATTTTTCATGAGTGTTCCAACTTCCTTTATTACCTTCAAAGGCTACACTTAACTCATATAGGCCAGTATAGGACAGAGTGAAGACTGAATTTGAACCACTAGAGTTCTGCATAGACCAGAATCTACTCATTTCACCCCCATTCCCTGTCCACTTGTTGATTTTTCCAGAAACAAACTTTTAATGGAACAAGTCTGAGAAGGGAGATCTCATGCTCAGCCTTCTGGAAGAAGATTGTAGCCAGTCATAAATTAGAGAAAGGGAGGCAAATATAGGGCCATGTAGTAATATGAAAACCAATTTTCTATGGCTTTCCCTTTCTTCAACCTTTCAATATAGCCATTGACTCCAGTGGAAGTTCATGGAAATGCATTTTTATAGCCATCCATGAGTAAACATCTCATTCTTGGAATCTACTTTCACAAAGCCCTAGAATGCATTGTGCTGTCATCGTTGACTTCCTTTCTAACCAAGTATGGAGGAAGAGCAAGAAAGCAAACAAGGCTTGTAATCAGGATGTTCACTGACAAGCCAGGATGACACATGACTTACTTGGAGAAGTTGATACTCCCTCTGAAGACTGGTTATAGGAGAGCCATCACTGGCTCGCCTGACAGGATTAAACCTCTCACTTGGGACTTGCAAACTGGTACTCCCACCACTAATAGCTCCTCCCACTCCACTGCTACTCCCACCACCACTTCCTCCTCCTCCTCCACCACGACCTGCATAACCATAGATCCACATTAGGAGGACTACCAGCAACCCATCCTTAAATTATGATGGAAAGAAACCTGCATTAAGAACTATCAATGTCTGAAGACCCTGACAATAAGGAGGGATTAGAAATTGCCTGCATCACAACTGTCCAGGGACAACTGCAATTTTATACCATGAAATTTTCTAATGTTTTAATCAGCCAGCAAATAAAAATTTCATGCAGTAATAAAAATAGCAAAGACAAGAAGATCATATCACAAAGAGAAACTTACCATACTGATTGGACCACCTAGGCTTATTTTTCTATAAGCAAGTGTAGATTTGTCACCACTGATCCTTAGTCAAAGCAATACAAAGTACATTTTTCTTGAGGTGGCAATGAGCATCATGTGAAATTAGGGCTGTCGATAGATCAATGCATTGATACCACTATCGATGGTTGGAGATATCAATTTGTTTTTTCAACCATCGCAATTGTATCAGCAAAAGAAGGGGAAATGTCCCATTGAAACAAGGCGAGTACAGACGATACAGTCCATCCATGCAGAGAATGGTAGAGGCACAGTGACCTGCATGGGCTTGCGATTTCTTATGATCAAATTCTGGAGATTCTGGGACTGAATATATGAAAGATGGGAGGAAAAAAAAAGCTTGATTGGAGACAGGAAGTGGGAAAGGAGAGGAAGGAAAGACCAATAATATGTTTTTCTCCTCTGTTTCAGTCTTTGGCTCAATCTCATCAGGTACATGCTGTGAAAGTGGACTGTTATACTCCCTTGATTTTGAAACATACATTGGTTAATTCCCCTCTCTGTGGGACATTATACCTCTTTACTTAAGGTGAACCCAAGTGAATTTTTTTACATGGACGTTGCATATTCTGGGGCTGTACCGATGTTTTGGCAACCACTGGTATGGTACCATAGGTAGATTTGCTATCTACTGGAGCAGATGTCCAAAGAAGACTGTGTAGAATGAAGGAAAATAGAAAAAAAAATTACATGAACAGGCTTGGCAACTGATTCTCAATGGTAATACTAAAACATTAGGGCTGTCCTGATGCATCCATCGATGAATGGATATTTTCAATAGTTGGAGGCATGGTAGGTTTCATTACTTGTTGCAAAAGTCACACCTTTCCTCCCTGATCATAAGCATGAGATTATGAAAGATGGATAGAGGTCTGTGCTCTGATCAAGTCAAGAAATGATGGAAGTCAAACCTCCGCCCAATCGCGCCGAGAAATGATTGAATCCTCAGGCATACCCTCCCCCTCCCCCAATGCATCGATACAATATCAATAGTTCAGGTTGATGCATCAATGTTTTGAAAAACTGATATTGTGACAGCCCTATGTGAAATACAATGCAGGAAGTTATGACAGCTTAATCCTAAAACATTTGAAAACCAGGCTCAGGCATTCCATGCAATTCAAAATTGCCAGCCATACAACAAAATTATTTAGGCCCTGGTTCATCATATACTTTTTTAAAGGTATGAATGCCTGATAAGTACAGCCTATATAAACATGAACACGGGCTCTCAGGATTTTCAGAGCCTCTCTCAGCTTAAACCAGTGGTTTCCAAACTTCTTTGAATAATAACTTATTCTGCCTGGTGCATTTTTTTTTTAGACATTTCCAGCTGAAACATTCCAACTGGGATCTTGCTTGAACTCAAATGTGAAAATTTTCAGATTTAAATCCTCAAACTTGAATTGAGCTGAATATTTCAGCTGCAATACAGCTGCTTCAATAGTTGGAGTGCAGCAGAAAAAAGCTGATCAAACCATTCTCAGTCCAACTAAAAAGATTCAAGCAGTAAACTAGCCTGAATTGTGCTTAATTTCCAAGTTGGAATGGGATGTCAGTTTACAACTGTAATGCAGTTGGAAATCCTAGCTGTTTTCAGCAGGTAATTTAAGCTGGGTCTTATAAGACATGCATTTACCAGCTTTTCCATACATGGCCTATTCAAGGTGGCTTCTTCAGATATAATTTTCTTACCTCATGGAACTTATCTTGTGATCTGCTTTGAAACCTCACATAATTTGAAACAAGTTGGTAATATGTTGAGATGAGATGTCGCCTACTTTATAAAAATGTTATGAAAATGCTTCATATAAGAGAATTGATCCAGACCATTTTGAGGGCAATGTACCTCTGGTACACCAGAAATTAGTGAAAATACACTCATTTATTAATTTGTTTCATCACATACTTGTATAAGCTATCATACAAGTTTTACATGCTGTTGTGGTACTGTTGGAAGCAGTCACTTGTGTGGAGTCCAATTTGTTCAAGCAGCTGCAAATATGCAGACATGACACAACTGAAATTGTGATAATTTGACATTTACATGACACTTACTGATGCATCAGCAGCACAGCAAGTCATGACACAGAGGTATGTCATGTGTAGTCAATGGATTAAATTGGTAATCTTTCTTGGAAGGCCAAGGATCATAAGATATTCTTCAAACTCTATAGAATAATACATTCTCCACTCCCTAGCCATGCAACAATTCGGATGAACTTCTCTCCCATGACACTGCAACATTTATGACCTCCTGCATACTACTGTAGATGGTCTTATTTGCACTCAAAATTATGTGACTCCTAAACATATTGTACAATACCCACATGATACTCGGCATTCATTTGCAGAATGCTTGATACAGGGAGCAATTCACACTTGCAAGCAATCAAAACCCTACATTGATAAATTCATTGGCACTTCTTGATACTATAATGAAACCACCCATTTGCAAGTTCTGGAATTAATAAATGTGTTTCCATGATTTTTTGTCAATTTGACCTTGAGAAAGTGTATTCACAATACATGCAGCAAATATGGGGAAAGTAGGCCTTCAAACACCTAATTTCAAGGGGATTCAGGAAGTTACCATATGCTTAACCACACAGTGGTCATAAAGCCTGTCTTGGAGCCCTTTTAGGATCAACTAGAATATCTTTCATATGTTACTGGAAAATCTATATGAAAAAGGCAGGATTGATGGAGACCTGATCCAAAAATTTTCTTAATTTAATCAGAGGGGATTATATTTTTCCACTGAGTGCATCAGCCTTGATACACCCCATCTCCTTTGAATGGGTCTTAGTAGGAAAGTCTGTACCAGTAGTACAGCATCAACTTGACCTTATATCACATAAAGTACTTTCAATGCAACACATCAATTCCATTTCAAAATGGTTACTACTGACAATGTCTGTTGCCAGCAATACTTGGCATTGCCTCAAGACAACAAGCAATGGTATGACAACAAGCAGTAGTATCTGTCATTCAGACATGTAGTTAGTGGACTGAAATGGAAGTGCCTAAAAACCTCTTGAAAAATATTTTAAAAGTACTTTTGACAAATTCATGCAATTCAAGATTAAGATAGAGAATTTCCAAAAGCCATGCTTGTTACAGCCCAATGCAGCAGAACCAAAATTTTTGTTAGTGAAGCTTCATTGTTACTTTTGGATACCACTAGAGTGATCTTTGTGGCATCCGTGCAAGGGAGAATAACCCTTTTCAGTTGCATTATATTGGGTACCCATCTGTAAAGTTACTCTCAATGGACAACTTTTTCATCATTGAATCTGATTTTGCCCTTCATTTTTTATATGTAGACCAACTATCTCTAGGTCTCAAAAATAAGTTACAATTTCCTCATTCCACTTTTGTGAGGTAGAATCAATTTCTCAGACTCATTTGGGTTCATGCAAACTGACATGGGGTTTCAGCATGTCCTCAAATGGTAGCAATACAAAATAAAAATTTGACATGCATGTTTCTTCCAGTTGTGGGATAAATGGATCTTCAATATTTGGTGATCTTTATTCACATTTTCCTCAAAAAGGAGAACCTAATAATGCATCTCCAAGATAACATACACCTGGTTGTAACTATTCAGGAGTGCAGAAATTCCTCAGGCTTTCAAAGATAGGGTCAAAAACATTAAATCTTAGTCACAAAAAGTGGAAAGATGTGACATCATTCCAAGGTTTAAAGATAATAAATCTGTACACATACATAAAGTGAAAGCTCACTTCAGATTCAATAATAAAACAGTTGTCCACACATAGTCACTTTATAAACGCCTTGTATTCACTTATTTCCAAATGATCAGTACAACAGAACAATAACCAAAGGATTTCTGAGCAACAAAAATGAGCTAAATGTTAAGAACGAATGATGTCATGCCCACCTGATGAGAGGTACTGAAAAGGACCAGGCTGTTCAAGGACAGTAGCAAGGCCAGAGCGACGTAAACGAGTCGCTCCCTTGCGGACCCCTGACTTAGAAGGCAGGGGTTGAAGTTGCTTCAGTAGACTGGCCAAGCACAGGGGAGGCACCACGTTACTTTGCTCTAAACATGCATCAACCAAGCAAAAAAAAGCAAAAAACATACCAGAACAAAAACACAAAAAAATATTCATGCAATAATTCAGCTACATGCATGCAAGATGCTAATTAGAACAAAGAAAATAAACATTGCGATTTTAAAAAAGGAGTGGTACATCTAAAGCAGGATGTTGCTTTGGAAAAAAATATGAATAGAAGTATCTCACTCCTTACAGAATTCAATTAACAAAACAGAACAAAATAAAAAAGGGATATCATGGATATCTATGACAAGAACTTACCCGTGAGTGCCTGTAGTCCTGTTCGTCTCATTCGAGCAGATGCACTTGGACTTGTGCTGCCTACTGGGCTTTTGGGTAGTTCAGGAGAAGCAACTGTGTGCCTTTTCTGGCTACCTCGTAGCGCTAGATAGCTGAGATATCAATCCATACACAAACCATCTAGATTATATGGATCAATTACATGGCATTAAGTATCCTGATGTAATTAATACCTGCTGACAGCAGCTGAGTCAGGAGAAGGAGAATCCTCATCACTTTTGCTTCCTGGGATTGCTAAGTGATATTTGGACTCCCTTCCATATACCTAAAGAGAAAAGGGGAAAAAATTAGCATATAAATCTGACAGCTTCTTCAACCATGGTGGAAAAAAAATAAGAACACTTATTTCATCTCACCAGGCTTGCAGGAGATATATGTAACTCAGCTCCACCATCTGATGCTCTTCTTCCAAATCCCCAAGCTACAATAATGAGTTTAAGATAATTTGAAAAATCATGAAAGTCTAGAATGAAAGATGCAAAACTAGATTAGCACATGTAAAATTCATTGAGAGACTCACAAGTTTCCATGACAAGTGGTGGTTTCAAAAGATGCTGGTTCTTTACAGAAAAATTCAAGGGGCTCTGATCTTGAACCAGTGGGAGATTTTGAGGTAAGTTGATGTGAGGAAGAATGAAGGTTGGTTGCATACAGATCTGGGCTCCACCATCCAGGTCACTACCATTCACCTGAGAACATAATCAGAAGGGAATCATGAGAATGAAGAGAGAAAACAGAAAATATGATTAATAAGAAGCAACAAACCTGTTCATGAGAGTGGTCCCCAGGTCCAACAGTGTGCCGCCGAGTGGTGAGGACTCTTTCCTTATCTCGCTCTCTTTCCTCTTGAGCATTGGCCACCTCCTCCTCCATTGCCAATTCACTGACTTCCACATCTCCATACTGAACCATGTCAATGCAAATATCATAAGCTATGTACTAACAATAGAAGGGTGAATGGATTCATGATAGGAATCCAAAAATAAATGATTTTAAAACTTATATTAATCCTTTGACTGCCAAAGATTTAAATGCCCAATCAACCTCTCCTTGCTAAGCACAGCAGTGGTGGTTCATTGTGTTGAACATGCAACATAGCATGAATGGCAGTGAAAGTGTTAATCATGCTAGCCAGCTCAGTTAGCATGGCTTACAAAGGCTAGGACCTATCCTCTATGAAAACTCAGTAACAATATAATGGATTTTTTTCCATCAATGATGGGGCCCAATTGAAAGTGAGTCCTCAATTCAAACCCCATACACTCATCTCAACATGTTCCAGATGGACAAGAGCAATGAGAAATAACTTTTGCGAATCAAATTATAAAAACTTTCATCCTAAATGGTCAATGCATGCTACAGCATTGTGCAGAATGAAGAGTGATTGCCCTTTTGCCAGACCTGCAATGGCATATGCTCTATAGTTTCTTTTTGCATGTACATTGGGCTTAAAAATATGGATGTAATGAATGTCCATAATGTACAATGTGTTTCACAAGTTGCACAACCCTGTAAACAAAAACTGCTGTATAAATAATGTGAATGATTGTTCAAATTGGGAGACAATAAATTTGCTTTGACATTTATATTCAAAGGTAACAAGTTTCTTCATTAACTCAAAATAGTTTGTATGATGTAAAATCTACCCTGTATATTGTGATTATTCTGGGCTGCATGACTTTTCACAATATCCCCATTTCTTCAAATTCAATGAGTCTAATATGTAAATTTTGTTCAGGATGATCTTAAATCAGCCTCAAAATGGAAGAGTCCAGTCCCAATATGAAAATAAATTCTCAAGCCAAAAACTGCATATGAATAACAATGATATAAGAGAAAGAACAGACAAGCAGATAGATGTACATACTGCACATGAAGGCAGAATAGCCCACCTCTATTTACCAATGTGGTCTAGATGTGGGGAGGGCAATGAGGCTGACATATCTGGCTGCTTTTTACCTCTGATTGGCAGAAATCCCCTTTAGTCATCAACCACCCTTCCATTTCTTACATTCTGAAAGTAAATTTTTGAGCTAGTGATTTGTTCTCCATAGCAACACCAGAACCTCACCATTGAAACATGATCTGATATCATCTTGAGAAGTCATTACGTCATATAGGGCAAACCCATAGAGCATGTAGTAGGAAAACCTACTCAAACAAAGGAGGAAACCATGGGGGCTGGAGGCATGACATGGTGCCTCCATAGAGTAACATATTACACCAGTTGAAGCTGCAGTTTGGTAAAGGAGTTATTTTCATATAGTATGCAAGACTCAAGATGAATTTACTCATTGAAATTCAAAAGCTGCTAATGAAGATTAGTGCCAAAGAAGCTCTCCCACTTTATATTGTCTACCATTGCCATAAAGTTCAGAAGCAAGGGTTATTCATCAGACATGCACTGTTTGAATCTGAGTAGCTTTTGCAACTGTCTCAAGATCAAAGGAAGCACAAGGCAACAATTGTGGGACTATTCATATTATGAGAGAACTGATCTGAGAAAAAGGTAAATAAAAATAGAATGGATGAATTCCCCAGCTTTCAATTCAATGAGCCTTTACAAGGTTACTTAATATTAGTTCCCATCTTCTTTCTTTATTTATCCACTTCTCAGACCAGTCCCTTTCACAGATTTTCAAAAGGTATGCATTTAGTTCTCAGTCATGATGTTCACCAGCTATAACCAGGAAAATTATCCAACAGATGAAACTCAAAATGAAAGCTGGTTTTTAACACATTGACCACCAAGTACAAGATATCTTGAACTATATTTCCATATGTCAGATGCCTAGTATGAGCTATCTCTGATTTCTAACATTGCACAATGGAGTACTAGATATTACTAATTGCTTTCATATTTTTTTGAATTTCTGTGACTGAGAGTAAAAAATATGAAAGATTGGATATTAATAATATTTTTACTTTTTTTCAAACTTCTGTGGCATGTGAAAAAAAAATGGCAGTCAATGTGTTAATGGTGACTTTTTAATGCCCCTCATGAGTCCAATTTAAGGAGTAACAAACCCTCTCCAGATGGCTGTCAGCCCAATGTAGCCCAACAGGGTGACCAACATCATCACCCATCCCTACAGAAAAGCAGCAGCAATGACTACCAGTAAATGACAGAAAAAATGCAATGGTAGAAAATGAGGAGACTCTCACTGGTTGTAGATGAAACAAGAAGTGGTGATGACGTTTTCTGCTCCATAATCAAGTGGTAGAGGGCACTGATGTGATCAAATTTCTCCATCTCTACTGACTATTCACAGACAAGGAAGACAGTTGAACAATGAGATACTCATTTTGAAGGAACCAGTGCTTAAAATGGGATTTTTTAAATAGGAAGGATGGCTAGGAATAGATTCTTTATAATACCCACCCCAGTTAAATAATGTGGAGCCATACACATTACCTTGTATGTATAGCTCCATCTAGAATATGTATTTTTTTGGTGAAAGCTTTATTTTTCTCAAGGTGGCAGTTAAAAAGCAAATCAATATTGACATGAAACCTTCATTGCAACTTGGTGATTGCATTTCGTTTTGGGAAGATGGCTCGGGTGAAAAATCAGTCTCGCTGGCACACCATCCTACCCCATTTTGAGCACTGGCAGGAATTGTTCCAAATAGGACCAACACCAATAGGGCAACAGAACACACCTGGAGAACCTGATGCAGTGAGAGGCCAGAGATGCTGGAGATGTAATGCAGAATCTCTTCATCAAGAGGAACAAGAGGTTCCTCCATGGGGGAATGTGAAGGAGAATAAACAGCTGGGAAGAAGGAATCACCATGTCTCATCCAACTGTGCTCTTGCACTTGAGTCAAGTTATATCGCTTCTCTGGGTCCACAACCAGCATGTTGCGAAGAAGGTTCTCACAATCTGCATCAGTCAAAAAAGTCATACCTTAATAGGAACAAATTTCACTGAATGAAATGATATCCAATGTCAGGCTAGACATCTCACCTGAACTCATGAAATATGGGACTCTGAACTTTCCACACAAAACTTTTTGGCGAAGAGAGTGCAATGTATTTCCATCAAATGGGAGAGCACCACACACCAGGACATATAAAACTATTCCAAGACTCTGCAGGAAAACATTTAAAAAGCAAATATTGCCTGAAATATATCACTATTACTAAAATCACCAGCATAAAACTATAAGTCAGACTTAGCAATATCATGTAGTACCCAAATATCAGCCTTGGGACCATCATAATCACGACCCTCAAACAGTTCTGGGGCAGCATATGGTGGACTCCCACACCAAGTGCGTAACTTGGCACCTGGCTCGTAGAAATTGCTGAATCCAAAATCTGGAGAATGGAAAGGGGAAGAATTTCAGAATTAATTTGAGATGATTTCAGAAATGCATTGACTAAGAGTCTGCAAGACAAACCAGCTATTTTGATAGACATGTTGTGATCCAAGAGAAGATTTTCAGCCTTGATGTCCCGATGTACAATGCGCTTCCTATGACAATAATCTATGGCAGATACAATTTCCCGAAATTTGCACCTGGCTTCAGGTTCTGTCATTCTTGTGTTGGCCACAAGATAATCTGATCCCAAACAAAGAGATTCATGGAATCAGTGTCTTCAGTTACAGACAACTGACAAGGTATTGAAATCTGGGCAACACTCACCAAAGATCTCTCCATTACTTGCATATTCCATGACAAGGTAGAGCATCTTCTCTGTCTCCATCACCTGCCACCACAAAGAAACATTGGGATTAGATTATACCTTTTTTTTATTCTTTAAAGTGTATTCATGCATTATCCTGTTCATAGCATGCACCTACAATGGCAGCAAAAGAAAACAACACCCTCCCCATCCCCCACATTTGTTACTACATAACCACCATTCAACATGTTTGGCACAACCAAAGTTTCAATTGCATATCTGAAAATAGTCAAATTTCCATTCTAGAAATACAAGAAATAATTTCATTCCGCATGGCGTTCCTGTCCTGTTCTAAGGAACAACAGGTCTATCTCTCCCTTCTAGATAAAAGCCCATATATTTCCCCATTTATGATTGTCGCTGGTTGTGAAATGACCTATTTTCTTCGCAAATTTACATGCAATGAGATTGTGAGATAAATATGAAGTGCGAAGTTATAAGCATAAAATATCACAGTGACGAGCTGATGAATGCAGTCACCTGGTACAACCGTATGATGTGAGGATGCCTCAGGAGTTTAATTATTTCTATCTCGCGAAGAATCTTCTTCATATTTTCTTCATCCAGCTTCATCTTGTTTACTATCTTGATGGCAACCTGTGAGAAGGTGAGATATTTATTAGGCAAACACCTGTGGGTTATCCTGATGATCGGGAGAGGTGTACCCGAGGCAGAGTCAAGGACATAGTATGGGTTGGAAAGCGTTTTCTTTTAGCATGAATTAGTGATGGTGCCGCTTGACGTCAATGGACTGGGGCGCTGAAGGGGAATCGATGATTTCAATCAACGGGGACCAGGGCAGGCAGGGCTCCTCTCTCCTACCCAATGCGGAAACGGATAGGCAAAGGCCTGGTGCCGAGGCCTTGCCCAGTTCATGACGCCAAATTGACGTCAGACTTGCGTAAAGATGCGAGGGACTTCCTGTGTTTGCATCGATCTAGAAACGCCCGGTCCAGAGCTACATTACACCATCACCACCTTCCCCTTCTCCGTCTCTTTTTTTTTTCTCCTCCCTTCCTTCATTGACCCCGTACCCAAAATACATCAACCCATCAATTACCGACTCCCGTAGTGGCATCACGTGCAATTTTGCAAAGGTTTACAGTTAAAGGCTGAAAGACCGCAATCTATATCAGTCCGAAAACACGGGATGCAGCTTAACTTGCGAACCGAATGCCACTGTACCGAATGTTTTTCATTTTTTACACGGATGCTAAAAGGATCTAGGTAAATCAAAAACCTAATGAGATGGAATTCTATATATGAGCCCATCTCGTTCTCTAACCACGGAGAGAAATTTCAAATCCAGATGCCTGTTCCTCACCTCTGCTAAACTTAATCTAAATCTAAACTGAATATAATCTGAAAGTAGTGATTTAGCACCTCGAAAGACCGCATATTAGATTAAATATGAAAAAAAGTTTCGATTAGATTTGATAGATTTAATTAGGTTTGACAGAGGCAAGGAACAGGCCCCAGATTAAAAGAAACGACTGTCTTGGTGGATTTCCACTTCCTTTTGTACCGAGCTCCCCATCCCCTTTTCCAAAACGTCACCGTTTGACGGAAAGCAACAGTATCAAGTCCTGCCGAGTTACCTTCGATCAAGACAACAAGTGCGGAAGTCACATTTCAATTACGTAAGACGCATGCTTCACTTCGTGGCTGAATCCATCGCAGATGATACGGATCTGTCTTGGGGCTCCGACATCATCTGCAGCACCCTTTCTTTTAGAGCACCGATGTCTTATATATTACTACGTATTGCCAAGCAAAAAGTCAGTGATTTTATTACAGAATTACTTTTTCGGCCTGCCTCTGGTATCCCGTTGAGCTATTTTCCCTTGTGGAAGTCCTACTTGCTCTAGCAGGATCCAAGGACTTTAAGGCTTACAACCAGCGGCGCAACCAAGGGGGGGGGGGGGGGGGGGGGGGGGCGCAAAACCTGCCGGGGGGGGTGGGGGGGGGGGGGGGGGGGGGGGGGGGGGGGGTGGTCTAAACCCTTTCCCCCCAACCCTTGCCAACGATAGCATCGCTCTGCTCACCAGGAGGTGGGGGGACGCAAAGAAATATTTCCAAGAGGAAACGACTGGTCAGACTAGAAAGCGAAAAGTTCAGGGAGATTGAAGGTGAAGGTCACGCCAGTCACACGTGGCTACTCGCTTGAGCTAAGTAACTATTTCACGGAAGCGTTCTGCACATGTGGCGCAGCTAGAATTCTTTTCGGGGAACGGAAGGACGACGACTCGGATGAAGGGCAAGAATCAGGTACAGGATACCAAATTTTCCTTTGCATGCATGCCCAGCGAATTTTATTTTGTTTCTTTTGTTAAAATGATAAATCCCCAATTCATGCTAAAATCCCTCAATTTCAAGGTTGGTTGCGCTACTGCCTGCAACTGCACCTTTGCTATCACCTTGAGAGCAAGGTGATAGCAACAGGTTTTTTTATGGTATTGGAGTTGCGCGACTGCAGTCCACGTGTCCATTCTGATAAGTGCGTCTTATCGTGAAATGCTGTCTAATGAATTGTCTAATTGAAACCCGTTACTCACACAAAACACCAAACGTGGACAGTTAACATGTTGCATATGACTGTTGTATGACAGTCAAAGATAAAGTTCTGCATATGCAATATATGCCACCACATAGAATTGTACGCATTTACCACATTTACAAGTCCGGACCTAGCTAGCGTGCCTTGAGACTTTCTTTCTGCATAGCCGGCCGAAGATAGTCCATCGAGAGTGGCGTTTCAACAGTGACAAGGTCGTGCAACAGGCAATGCATGTTACTTAGTATTCTCTTGCATGAGTGCAAACTGTACTAAGAGCCAAGGAAACATGGTGCCCAAACTCCAGTTTCTCGGCCTTGCGAAATGTGGGGTTACTAGTCCCCCCCCCCCAAGGTTGAAGAGCATACCTGGGTTAATTCAAGGTTGCGTTACAAAGGAAACTTTTGATAGCGTCATTAAAAAAAAAGTATACTAACAACTCCGATAAATACATTGACACACTCGTGCCGAATGCGTCAATGAATCGTGCACCATAGGGCGGGGGCAAAGGAATACCGTGGGCCTGATCCAAATATGAGTAAAACTTCGGATGCCTCAATTTCCAAAAAAAAAAAAAGACACCGCCTTCTGTTTGGGTGAACACTGCATTCGGAACTTGTACCACGTACAATCGCAGCAACAGGCAATCTTAATAAATTGAGATTTGACAAAATAGGAAAAATTTATCATTCGTGTTTCGGCTTAATGGCAATTTAGTGCTGGCGACTGGTTTTGACAGAATTGTCCTCGGAAAGGCAGATATGACGGATTTAGATAAAGGAGGAGGACTTGGCATGAATATTTTTACTTTGCCCACCCTGTACATGTGGAGGGATGGGAATGCGGGGCGGCTCCCAAGAAAGTTTGCGTTGCGGCGAAAAATATAATAAATACGTAAGTCTTTCTCATAAATCCAAAGCAACTGCTTCTCAATAAATATCTATATTCCTATGATATGACGCAAATTGGCATATGATCATTTCAATGAGCACAGGTGAAAGAGCTTTCAGTTCCGCTTCGCTATTCAGTACCACGGAATACAAAGATATAAAATGCCCATATGAAAATGGGTCAAATATGACCGTGACAAGCGATCTTACAAGGCAAAGGGCATTTCAAACTCAATGCATCTGAAATGCATGACATATGCAGATGTAGAGCTTCTCATACTGTAACTTCCGAATTTTTAGACTCATTATTCCAAAGCATGCCTAACTGGGATTTCAATTTGAAAATACCTGCATTCATGCACCTCACAATATACCACAGAGAACCATAAATCAAATTTACTTTGTTAAATTTAACTCAATAGAACATGTACATCCTACGCAATAACACAAAAATTTAAAGTGAATCCAAAATTGAGTGCAATCAAAGTTCACAGTAGCAAAGATTAAATATTTGGTAAGGATTCCACACATGGCTTTTTTCAAAGCAAAGTTTTCATTTAGGTCTTAATAGCATTCCTGACACAGTTGATGGCTAGAATGCATGATAGAGGCAAGTGGTAAAAAGATAATTATTTCAAATGCATTCTTTTCCTAATTCAGTCATGAATACCAAGCACTCATAACAAAAAAGTCCTGCACAGTCAAGTTAGGAGGGGATGTTTCAACACTCCAAATGATGCACAAAACCCTTGGGTCATTCATAGAATTTCTGAAAGTCAAACAGGCAGAAAACTTGGGATTTTAATTCAAGCAAATTGGTCATAGTCCAATCCAGTAGAACCTCCTTTGAGTATATCATCAAAGATGGTAAAAGTGAAATAATGGAGTATATTATGAAAGACAGGGAAGGGGAAAACAGAGGAGGGCACTTGGAGGATGAGAAGTATTAAAATGGTTTGAGGTTGGAAGAATGGAAGAAGGGGTAACAGTCCACACTAATACTGTGCTCTTCTATAAGCATTTCTGAATTTAAAATGTTCTCATTTATATTCAAAATAAGTTCATGGATAAAATGGTTACAAAAGCATATCTATGTGAAATTTATCACATTTATATCATGCATAAGTGAAACTTTGGCAAAGTTAGAAGTAGTAGTATTCCCACAAATGTTGACAAAAAAGTTGCACAGTGAAAGGTCAGTTAAAAATCCTAAGCTGGGCAGAAAAGTGATCACTGAGAACTTGCAGTAGTAGGCTCAGTGGCAGATCCAAGGAGGGGGATGATGGCCTTCCCCCTCATGGCCATGTTCACATTCTACTCTTAAAATTTAAAAAGAACATAAATTAATTTTCTTTGGAGCCTGTGAAATGAATATCCAGATTTCACTGAAAATAAAAAAAGTGATGGGGTGGAAGATGGTGGTAGAGGGACTCAGGCTAGCATGCAGGAGGTCCAGGTGTCTACTTTCAAATACTACTTGCTCTCCCTTTGGCTGACGCATAGGGCACTCTGTGTCCCATCATGTGAGAGGTAGGGGTTTGGTGCACCTCAATAACACCCACCACATTGGCCCTGGGGGCCTGATGTACAGTGATGGAGGGCCTCAGGCTGGAGCACATCAAAGTCACCATCACCCTCTCTGGGTCCATGAAAACAGGACACAATGACAGGAAGCATGGGAAGGTGTGGCAATGCTATCAGGGATGCCCAATAAGGATCCCCTTTCCAGTACTAAGTGTTCAGCCACTTGAGGCATTTGTCCTTGTCTGTGTAAGTCCATCTCAGTCCATGTTTACAACAACAACAACAAAAAATGCAGGTAGATGGGATAGGGGTGGGTGTTGGAACTAGGGAACCACCCCCTTTGAAGAATTTCTGTATCTGCCACTGAGTACATTATATCAATAAGCCTATGTGACACCACATTAGATTTCATAGATGCCAGAGGAATGCATGGTATCCTTAAGTTACCTGATCTCATGGGGCAGTAAGATGCAGAGATGAAAGCTGATGCAGTTCAACACCCTAGGAGACCCCCTACACAATTATTTCTTATGTCAATGAACATTATTGAAACAGCCCCAAATATTGCAAAAAAACTCTTAAAAGAGCATTTCCTCCAGGAATCCTTCCTGGTATAACTCATTCCCGATATGCCTGGGGACGAACATAATTTGTCCTCAACCACTAGTGTCCCTCATTTTCATTTTCCCGACTTGCTATGCTCTCTCCCTCCATACCCATAACCCTATATACTCTGTTTCTCTCACCTCTTCCCTGTCTTTGCTCCTGTGTTTTGTTATTCATTTCCTAGTTCTGCCTTATTTCCTTTGTTTCCTTATGTATTCCCTTCCATGTTTCCTGGCTGTCATAGTGTCCACCGCTTTACTTGCCAAAATACACTGATACTGATACTGATTAAAAAATCCCCATTTTGGTGCATTTACTTGCAGGCATATCATAAGCCAGCATCAGTGACCCAAACTTTATCTTGAACAAATTAGGCCTTGATCTTGCTCATGATACACTTTTTTATATCAATAATTACAAAAAACAAAGATAGCAAACAATGATTTTCCAATAATGTCTGAAATTAACTCACCCTGCATTTTGCAATCATGTGCATAGCACACTTCACAATGGCAAAATTTCCCTTTCCTATTGTCTTCTCCAGTTCGTACAAGCCTACACGAAGCACTTTCACCTTCTTTTCAGGTCTGATCACATCCTCCAAGCTAGTCATTCTTATAATTTGACACTCTTTGAGGCTTATAGTTCTCAGACTACCAGGGCAACAAGAGAAGGCATTTCATCTATGAAACAATAGAGACTTTGAAGGGCACTCCAATTTCAATAATTCCTTTCAGAATTTAAATTGCCTATACTATATGCACTGTCCAGACTGAATTGGTACTCCCCACATAGAAGCACTTCCATCAATTCCAAGTAGTGACAACTTCCATACGGGTAGTTTTGTGGATCACCTGACAAAGCGGATCCTCTGAAAGTAGTGCTTTCTCCAGTTCCCAATACCCAGGGGGGGGGGGGGGGGAACCAATACAATCCAAAAAACTNATTAATCGGCCAGCGGGGGGGGGGGGGGGGGGGGGGGGGGAGACCAATACAATCCAAAAAACTGCATTTATTGGATAGGCCTAGTTTTTCCAGAATTAAGCCTAAAACAAAATTGGAAGAGTTCATAAATCAATTGGGACTACACTGCAGTAATGTATAGCTGATACACCCTACCTATTTACTGCAAAAGGTGAAGCCAACAGAGAAGTACTTTAAAGCACTAGGAATGAAGCATTTCAAGAAAAGAAAATATCAGCAATAAGTTGATATAAAACTAAAGGTTGACCCAATATGTATGAGGATGAAAAAATCGAATACACCATTCCAAGAAAAAACTGAATGCACTCAGTGAACTTGAGTGGATATTTCCCTCCCTTTCCTCATTAATTGCTTGAGAATCCATGCACCAATCATAACTATTTCCTAATGGTTGGAAGTTCTCTTAGTTCCCCTTTATTTAGGATATAATATGTGATGACTCATGTAGAAGTTTTGATAGGGCAATCAAGGAAAGGTGGAAAGGATCATCCCATCTGCTACTTTTCCACCACTCAGGTTTTTTTTGGTATGGTGTACTATCAAGAGGAACAAGGAAGACAGGATGAAGATTAAGCTGGCCATCATATGTGTCTCATTAAAAAGCATGCAAAAAAATTAGCACATTTAGGATTAAAGAATGAATTATTGATCAGTCAATGAAAACCTCATCAATTGACCAGACTTCCTCAACTGGTTTTAGATCTATTTGAATGTATGACTTACAAGGTGCAACCACAATTCTCCTTTGAGCTAGGCTTTGGCATGCAATATGCACATGCTGGAAAATGACACAGTAATCAGTGACATTCAAGATAAAGGACCAATTGATACTTCCATGAAAAACATCAACAGTGAGGTATTCATTGGCCTATGCCATGGCATTCAAATTTTATAGTTTAGGCCTTTGGTATGATTTAGGCCTGAAAGGCATTCTGTTAAATCAAGGGTTCTCAAGCTGCAACATCTTGAACACATTAGGTCTGCATACACACTTGCATAACTCAGATTGTGAGAAAGGTTGTAGTTGAACAAGCATCTACCATGAAGTTGTCATACCCTAAAAGTGCCACAGCACAGATGCAGGATGAGTTATATGAGCAAAGCTTGAAAATGGTACTTGCACTATGGCATTAGTGCTTAAGGATAAGTGACTATAGTTTGGACTGCTAAATAATTTCATTACCCTTTGGATTTCTCATTAAGAGTCTTGTTTTTGGCCAAATTGAGAAGGAGAAAAATAAACACACTGTAATGTGAATATAAGCATGCTGCACAAAGACATCTTAGCCCACTGCATCTGCCCAAGCCTATTGCTAGGCTATACTAAAGCCACCCTATTTGGCCATCAGCCTCAGTTCATTGGGTAAAATGTCCTAGATATGAGGTGAAACCATCATCAAAAAGTGAGCAGTCTTAAATCAAGATGAAGTGACAGTCAAAACTAAGGAAACAGTGAATCCCTAAAACCAAATAAATTTTGTCAAGTTGCTTCCAAAGTCTTCCATGTCATTTTCTGAGACAAATGAGATTTGATTTTGTCCTACTCAGTTCCAAGGGCTCAAACAATTACAGGACAATATTATTGCAACCTATTAGTAAAGTAACTCCTTCCAGTTGAGAGCAAATTGCACCTTCATCTCACCAGTGGCAACTTCATCCTTCATCAGGATGAAGCTGCAATTAACGGAGTTCTTGGCTGAGAGGGGATTGAAACTCCACCACATCATCCATATTCCCCAGATTTGGCCCTTAGTGACTTCTGGCTGTCCAGCAAATTGAAAGACACTCTACGGGCAACACATTATCTATTACGAATGGCCCTGGGAACCTCTATTTTCCAGGGGTTCACAATTACACTTGAAAATGACTTCGTTTAGCGCTTCCACGACTGGGTAAAAAGGTGGCGGCTGTGCGCGGAGATTACGTGGAAACGTGAGAAAAGTAGTTTTGAAAATCACCGCCTCCCGGAATGCCACGGACTTAAGGTATGCACCTCGTAAAGGCCTAAACGTGCTTAAACTTAGGCAATAATTGAAGAAATAGGGCAGGTATCATCAGGGAGGTGTGAAGTGTGCACACTCGTAATAGGCCTAACCTATTCTGTCCATGGGGCTATGCCTGCACCACTCCCTATAGCATATGATAGGCACAAACATAGAGTCTTGGGCCAGGCAAGCAGGTGATCACCATGTTGATTAGATGACTTGCGCGTACTCTACTGAGTACGACAGCAATCGCTGTCTGCACTGGGGTGACATCTAGTATGGCCTTTTATTATTCTTTGAGTTACTATTTTATTCCATAGGTAGTAGTGGTTTAAGGTTTCAGGTTTGGGTTAGGACTTCAAGAGACATTTTTGCTCTTTAAGACATTCTGTATCAAGGTCGAGCGTTCATATAAGATAAGTCTACTCTCTTAGCAGAGAGATTTTCAGCGAGAGTATATCCGTTTACTATATATGAGGGCTGATCATTTAATTCGTAAACTGATAGTGTCACCGCTCTCCCACGCAAGTTCCAGCTAAATCCCTCTAGATTGCACTGAAGTGCATGTATAAGTATACCCCGAGGCAGTTACACGTTGAGTTGAGTTGAATTGAATTGAGTGCCGTCAGTCGTGATCGTTTCGTTTTTGTTTGGCGAGAATCTGTGCTCGCTGGATTCCATACCATTTGACACCTGAACAAAAACAAAAACGTCTTGAAGTGTGTGAGGCCATGCTAACGGTTTGAGCGAGAAGGTGAAAGATTTTTCAATCGCATTGTGACCGGTGACGAGATATGGATTTGATCATTATGATCCAGAAACCAAGCAGCAGTCAAGTGAATGGAAGGATTCAGATTCACCGCGTCCCAAAAAGTTTCGAGTCGTCCGCTCAGACGCGAAACAAGTGGCACTTGTATTTTTTTTATTGCAAAGGTATTCTCGCCACGCACTTAATTGCCACGTGGTACAACCTTGAATAAGGAAACATATGTCGAAGTTCTACGGGAAAAGCTCCGCCGTGAGAGTCGCGAAAAACGTCCTGAGCTTCGAAATGATAATGGTTTTTGCATCATGACAATGCCAGACCCGCACGCTGCCGCTGTTGTGCGAACTGTGATCGAAGCCATAGGTGCAGAGGTGTTGTCACAACCTCACTACTCTCCCGACCTCGCACCATGTGATTTTCTCTTATTCCCGAGGTTGAAGAAAAAGCTGAAGGACCGGCATTTTGGTTCGGGTGAGGAAGCTCAAATTGCCAAAACCACGACACTACGAGGTATATCGAAAAATGGTTTGCAAGAGGCCTTCGACGGTTGGGTAAAGTGATGGCGCAAGTGTATCCAGTTTCAGGGAGAGCATTTCGAGAAGGAAAAAGCAGCCGCGAACCACGACGGCGACAATTAAATGTATAATAGCTTCAGTCTACGAATTAAATGATCAGCCCTCGTAATTAGTTGTATTGCTCCCTTATTATTTTTTGCTTTGTCCAATACTCTTAACCTCTTCTTCACAGATGTTAGTCACGGAGGAAGCAGCCATTGCATCACCACCTAAGTCGGTCCACGTACTATCCTCCAATATTGTGTTTTTCAAGTTTGATTTCAATTGACTGCTACTCATGTAGCATCATCAACATCAGGAATGAACCATGCACGAGGATCTGGGTCAAGTGAAAAACACGGAAAAAGTCGTTCCGCGACCTGAGTCTCATTTGGAGTTGACACAACTTGAACTGATTCCCTTTCATTCTGCTCTAACCATCCAACCATTATTTTTCCTATTGTAACTAAAGTGGAATTTGCTCTTCAACTTCGTGAGTCATTTGAAGGGCTGAAAGGAAAAGCTGCCTATTGGTACAAAAAAAGTCTGAGAAATATACCCAGATAGCTTGAAACATAGTGCCTACATTGCCTGAAGGTTGGTAAGGTTGGCTGAATGTGGAAGTGGGCTGGTGACGCCGACGAACAAGTTTTCTCCGAAATCCTAATGTTGGAGAACAAGGATGAAATCAAAGCAATTTCGAATGAAAATAATCATTAGATAGAGAATTATCTATTCTAGAGAGAATCGTAGGTGCTAGTGTGAGGTTCATATAGCGGACCATTATGTGGCATTCATTTGAGGGAAGGGGATTTGATTTCTCAAGCAAGAGAAACCTAGTGGACTGAGGAAAAGGTTTAAATTCAGCCTTTGCTCAAGTCTACAGTGAAACAATACTGTAACTAAACATTTTGGAATCCTCTTGCAAGAGCTGCGAAATTCATTTTCGGCATTCTGTGAGTGAAAAATTTCGGCAGAAGAATTTGTGAAAGATGACTGCTTTTCCGACAAAATAATATCCGAACAATTACGTTAATTTCACAACTATTTCATGATTCGGCTGAAAAGTTCACCCGAGTGCCGAATCTTGTTGATTATGCCAAAACCAAACCTGTATGAAATCGAATGGCTGATTATTCATATTCCGTCGTCCAAATGACAAAATATAGGGAGAAACGCTTAAATCCGGAAACAAGGTGCCCAAGTGAACTTCCCATGCGCAAAGCCCGCTGGACACCATCTTCTGGGTGCCAATAATTCGTACTGAGCTCCGATTTCCAAATGTGCACATTTATTAGCTTTCCATTATGAGATAAAAGGAAAATGTTACAAAAATGAATTACAAACCATATGAAGGGGGATTACAAAAGGTATAAAGTTCTCCGATATCGTAATATATTGC